GTAAATTTTCTTACGATATTCTATTATCATAACACATGTTTTTTTTTTAATTTCCAATTAATCTATATCGCCATTTCAAAATTACTTACAAAGGGATTTGGGTTCTATCAAAATATGACTTATATAGGGATTACTGGTATAAGAAAATGCTATTAAGTAGAAGTCAACTCTCATCATAAGTGAACCAAAAAAAGTTCGACTCTCTTGTTGTTTTCTAACAACCACCTTCCAAAATTAAAAGGTAAAAAATAATAAAAAAATAAACTCAAAAAAATATTTCTTTCCCGACCACCACCTCCCTCGAAACGTAGCTAATTCTACCTTTCCAATCATCATTTTCCAGTCTTACATCGTAATTCCAATTTAACGCCACAAAATATAATTGCCGTTTTAGATTTAATTTCAACCCAGAGGGGATGGTTTCTAGCTTAACATTATCAGTCCCCTTTCTGCCAAAGGTGACGGCCCCCTTTCCCTTTTTTGTATGCCAATGCCTCTTGAATACCCTTAAACTTGTGGATAATTTGTCCAATTCTTCTATGAATGTTGAAAGATTTTGCTGAAACACAAAGATATTCGGCCAATTTAACAGTTTCCCAGCCACTACCCCAATAATATAGGCCACTCATGCATGTTGTTCTCACCACCTCTTTGAAGTTGCCCAATCCCACCGCGGTTTCAACGTACTCAAAACTAATAGCCAAAACAAAATCTATCAAGATTAAGAGTTAAGGGATTTTTTAAAAAAAGAAAAAAAAAAGTAATTAACCTGTAAGGACAATTTTGAAAAAGTAAGAAAAAATTGTCCTGAATGCTAAAAGTTGCCTCGGTAATATCGTTGAACTTAATTTAAATGTCAATATCTTTAATAGCTCTAATCATTTAGCAATTATTTTGAAGTAATTTCACTCTTCCAAAATAATGATCAGCCAGTTTCAATTTTTACTTATTAGTACAAATTATAATAAAAATTAAATCTAACTAAAATAATTATTTTGAAATAGAGAGATTATATGATTGCATTGTTTTTATTTATTTTTTTTTTTAGAAAAAAAGCATACTTTCATTTTGTTGGAAATCGTCTAACTACGTTTGACATTACAAAGAAACAGTCTAAAACACAACTCACAACTTCTATTACAATTATATTGTTGTGTTCACATTTGATAAATCTATATAGACTTATTCTATTCAATGTTGGACTTGGATTATAGATCCGGTTAAGAATATAACATTAATTATCAGATGAAAATCCCAATTTGTAAATCTAATAAATAGATTTATATTGACTGAATCTTCTCGAACGATGCACATCAAACCCTCGAACATCACCAACGAAGTCACGAACCTAGCCATTAACAAACAAACCCTACCCTCAACCAGTAAATATTGCAACCAATCTACCGGAGGAACTACGACAAAAAAGAACCATACCCTCTCAATATACTATAATCTATTGAGGGAACAAAACTTCCATGAAAAAAGAAGGATATAATTTTGTTTGTTAAATGATAAAACTAAAATTGAGCTTATAAAATCATATACAGTACATTCTAAATTAAGTCACAAATGTTTGCATATTGACATCGATTTTTAAAACCATTTTTCTGCTATGTACCTATTTAGAAAAGTAAAAAAAAATTAGTTTTTGTATCAACTATCATTGCCTCTCAAGCTAATACCTGCAGCAGTTGAAAATGTGCAAAAATATAATTAAGTCTTCTAATTTAAAATATTCATAAGTTAACAATATTAGATAAATGTTATAACACTTTTATCAAAGCATCAAGTGGCTTGCTTAATAAGTTCTCCACGGCCAGTTACAAAATAAACACAGAATTAGAAAGGCAGACAATCAACCTTCAATCACCCACGGCCGATCGACTCCACTTGAGAAGGCCGACTGCACAGGTTTTCATTTTTTCCGCGATAGAATCCAAACTCTCGTCCCAATTTTCCTTGATCACTCTAGCACAATCTTCCGATTTTACCCAAAGTGCCTCAAAACGGAACCTTCCCTCTTTTCTTGGTCCCAGAGAGAAGAAGGCATAATTTTCAGAAATTATTGGATGATCTTTTTGAATTAGAAATGCTATGAAAGGCAGAAAAAGATAATGGGTACGAAGATTGCCTTTTTTCCTTGGTAGCTACTTTGTTTGTTACCATAGTAGATTATCTCTCTTATCACCTACACAAACATATGAAAAAAGAGCAGCAATATTAAATTTTAATCAGATGCACTATACAAAAAGTTGATAATGAATCAAAGTAAAAATCTTTACTCTGGAATCTTGGCCTAGCTTCCGAGTGAAGTCGATCTCTGTTGCAATCCGGATGAACTTGAACCACCCATTATATATATGGGAAAATCTAGAGTTCCGTTGGTCATTTTTACGGAACCGTATCATTTTGTCTTCAACCAATCAAAATTGAGGGTATACGATATAAACATGTGATGAATAACATTCTATAATATGCTAAACTAATTGAAAAATTGGTTAATTTTGCCCGAAACTTCAAGTTTCTGTCCAATTTGACCCAAAATATTTTAAGGAAACCAAATTCATCATCTAAATTTTAATTTTTTTTGCCTATTTAATACAATTGATGAGAATTCTGTTAGATTTAATATTGCCATTGACATTCCGTTACTTTGTACAATTTTTTATTGGTAAAAAACTTTGTTGACAAACCCAATTGGCACCTCTAGAGGGCTTGTTATGGCAAACCCACTCATGAACCCTCGATTTCACATCCGAACTTGTCACCACGGGCTTGTCTAAGGTGGTTTACCTCTCACTGTGGTTTGCAGGCTATTGTAGTGGGCGTTTGTTTACCCATCTCTGGGGTTCCCGGCGTTATCAAAAAAAAACTTTGTTGGCCCAATATTTTAACATTTTATCTCTAATGTTTTGTTATTCAATAACATACACTTATCTTACCATTTAATTATTTTAACGTCCCACCACATAATTTATCTCCTAATCAAATCCATTGCTCCCATCCTAAACTTCTTCCATTTCTTCCTCTTTTACTTGTTTTCTGCCACCGCACCACCACCGCCACATTTCTCTTCTTCTCTAAAAATTACCATCACCACTTCCTAAATTTGTGAGCATTTCAAAACATCACCACTAACATAAAAATTTACCTCTACTAACAGTACACAATCCTCCCTCCATCACTACCCGCATTTCCGTCGCCACCACTTTTCTTCGATTCTACAAAAATTACAAAATACTTTACTTATTTTTCATTTTTTTTTCCTTCTTTTCAAAAAATTGTACAAAGGAACAGAAAAGAAAAAAATAGTGGTTACACCGTTTTGACCCCATCGTCAATTTTACTCTCTTGATTTTCGGTAAGCCAATTTTGTCGTTTATGTTTGAAATTTTTATCAATTTCATCAAATTGGTCAAATTTCCATTAAACTTAACGGATCTCCATTAGTTTTTAACAAAAATACCCCAATAGTTTCAAAATATTATAAAAATAACTCGCAAAATATGTAAAAATAACAAAATAATCCCTTCTCACTTGTATTCATTTTAATCTATTTCATTTAATTTCTCTTTACTACTTTTCATAACCATAAAAATATACTATATAATCTTAAAAAAATAATTATTTATTTTCAACTATATTTTCAATGTGCAACACACTTGAGTTGGGTTTAGAGGTAATTTTGTCTTTTTATATTTTTTAAAAAATTTTAATTTGTTTTATTTTATTTTTTTAATAACTTTCTTCTTATACTCTCTGACTTGTATATGTTGGCACTAGTATAATTACTATATTTCAAGAAAAAATTTACGTTTTGTATTTCAATTTCGAGGTTTAAAACAATATTAAAAAATAAGATTTTTTAAAAAATATACGTATTTATGTTTATCATGAAATTCAATGATTGCTTATATTTAGTCATCGGTAAAGTAACAATAACAATTTAAAATTTGTGTTAACCAAATTTACAGCAATTCATCGTCGTGGACTAAATAAATTAGTACTTTTTCCTATGTCAAATGGTTTTCTAATTTTTATATTATTTTTATTATCACAAACAAAATAATTATTTTAGGCTAGATCGAGTAAAATTTATACTTCGTAACTTATCTATGAATTACAAGAAGTCAAGGAGGAAAGACTTGTCTTAGCATATTTTTTTTAATATTTTTTTTTTTGTTTTGTTTAGAATGATAAACTTTTAATTTTCATATTTATTTCAACTCGATTTTTTCTTCCTCGTTTTCTTTATTTTTTAAACTTTTTTTATAATCTATGAAATAAAAGGTAAATTAATTAATAAAATTTAATAATTATACTAGTAGCAACAGATACAAGTCGGGAAGTATAAGAAAAAGAATTTAAATAGCAAAAAAAAATTGATTAAAATTTTTAAAAATATGACAAAATTACATCTGAACTAACTCACATGTATGCACATGAAACATAGAGTTTAAAAATAAATACTTCGTATTTTACTGATCTTATAATGTATTTTGATGGTTACAAAAAGTTGTAAAGAGAATGAAATAGAAAAAATAATTAAATAATAAAAAGAGATTATTTTGTTGATTTTACATTTTTTGGGGGTTATTTTTATAATCATTTGATATTATAGAGATATATTTTTGTTAAAAATTAACTGAAATCCGTTAAGTTTAACGGAATCGGGCCAATTGGATAAAATTGGCAAAAAATTCAAGCATAAAGGAAAAAATTGGCTAACCAAAAATCAGTTGGCTAAAATTAACGACGCGGTTAAAACTTTGGTTACAACCGTCATTTTCTCTGTAAAGGAAATTGGCCAGAAATTAAAATTTAGATGATGAATTTGGCTTCTCAAAAATCGTTTTAGATCAATTGGCTAGACACTTGAAGTTTTGGAAAAAATGAAGAACACTCCCCGCAAGAGAAGATCTCTGTATTCAGGAATCGTAACATCTAGAAAGTCATCTTGATAAACAAACGATGGATACAAGCAATAGCATTTTCCTGGGCGCGTTCTCCCAGCTCGCCCAGCGCGTTGATTGGCCTGCACCTTGCTTATCTGCACAACGTCAAGAGAATACATTCCTGTAGCGGGGTTGGAATGACGTTGCTTCACGTAACTAGAGTCAATGACGTACACCACGCCTCAATAGTCAACGAAGTTTCTGCTATGTTTGTGGCTACTATAAATCTTGGACAATTTGGAGGCAGAGGACAGAAGACACAACCCTGTAATTCGAGTGGCAAAGACCCATGAAGAGGGATGAACGACTGCGTCTAAGAAAGATCCTTTTTCAAGGTTTCGAATTCTCTTTTCCAAATTTTTCACATAATATTTTCGATATTATCCTGTCCAGTCATGAAGATAAGAACATCGCCTATATCGATAGCCTTTTGTAGACAAGCATTAACGTAATCTTTCGAGGGCTCTAAACTGTGCAGAATTTTAATTACTTTCCAAGAATATTTAGGACAGGACAACCGGAGAAGAATCCCGAGACTTTGTCACCATCAAGCGTAGCAGGTGTGATCAAAACCTTTAAATTCGAGGCGCGTAATCTGATCAAGCGTTTCATCAATCCGAGCAATATATCCTTATTCAAGCTCCTCTCATGAGCTTCATCCAAGATTATTACCGAGTATTGACTCAACTCTGGATCGGGCAGGCTTTCACGAAGAAGAACTCCGTCGGTAAGGTATTTGATATGTGTCCTAGCTGAAGTTCTATCTTCAAAGCGTATGGCATAACCTACTTCCTCCCCTAGTTGAACACCAAGCTCCTGCGCAACTCGGTGAGCGACAGAGCCCCGTCGGGGATGAGTGACGGCAATGATTCCGGCGAAGAAGTTGTGAAAGTTGTGTACTTTTACCGGAACCAGTTTCTCCGCAACTGGATTCTGATCAACCAGTTCTACAATTTTCTCTTCGAATTGAAGGATCGGAAGGTGCGACATTTGCCTCAAACCAGTCAAAATTCGAGCTTGCACCTTGCGCAAATTTTGCAGCGCTTTCAAAAAACGTTAGTTGCTGAGAGAATCCGCAATCTTGGATCTTCCGTATCATCTTTCTAGTTAGAAGATTACATAAAAAGTAAAGTTAATTCGAGTAGTAGTAATTGGCTTTAGTTATCTTCCGTTTCGGTTTTGGATTTGGATTTGGATTGTTTTTTCAGCGAGTCCTACTGAGTACAGGTTGACTTCTGCAAAAAGAACCTCTTGAACTTTTAAGCTGGATGTAAAATATATTGTCCAACTCCAATGTGTTTCCTTCAATACCGTAGCAATGGAAAGGGTATAAAGAAAAGAGCAACCAACCCTGTCTAACTTTCTAAGTTTTAAAAACAAATATTCCCTCCGTCCCAAAATTATTGTCCAGTTTATTATTAGTACAGTTATTGTCCAGTTTAGATTTTCAATTTTAGTTCAAATTGTACTAAAAATAAATGAAAACTCAAACTAGATAATAATTTTAAGACAAAGGCAGTACATTATTGGGTCGAGGTTCAATTCTAATCTCTGACGAGATTCATTTTGTTTTTTTTTAAGAAATCTCTGACGAGATTCATAATTTACTAACAAACTCAACCTGAAAAGTACAATTCTTACTTCTGAGAAGATTTGTGAATTTCTTTACAAGCTCGTACGTACATGCAATTCTACTTACAAAATCTTACAGGACTTATCGTCCAAATCAACACAAAACAACAGACTCTATTAAGGATTCAAAGTCAAGTTTTAAAGCTGCTCCGTATTCAATCAATGCAGAGTGCAGAAGGATCTTACGCTCTGATCAATAACTCATAGACATTGCTATTATTGTCACCAGACACACGCTTCAACATCTCGAAGCTTTTACGACTCCCTAGAAAATCAACTCGCTTAAACTTTAAATGGCCATGTTCTGCAGTCTCTTTGCTGGAGAATACTGATCGCAGCCGATCAGCGTGCCTCGAATCAGTGTGAATGGCGACATCTATTTCTGCAGCAGACAAATTTTCCTACAAAAAAGAACATACCTTAATAAGATGCCAAAGAATTGAGAATTTCATATGCAGTTCTTAGACTTGCTCATGCAGAGGATTCTCAAATGGTAAGTCATTTACAGTACAATGCACATCATCATAGTAATGCAAATTAAGACCAAGTCAAGACTTGCATCAACCAGAGCAATCAACTACACTTACCAAACAATGAGCTCAAATTGAATGTACTTGCATAGTATTAATCCATAAAAGGATTATTTACTAATGGTTTTTTACAAATGTATAAAAATCAACTTGAAGGATACAACCAAAAAAAACTCCGATCATTTAAATGCTAGTTAAAAAATGCATATTTCTTTACACTTCTTGGAGCACGATGGCGAAATATTTTATTTTTTGTTTTGAATAACGATGGCGAAATATGATTCATAGAGATCCCATAAAGTGAGGCAAAGGCTTCACATGTTAATGTTGTAGTTCTCAACAGGTAAATACTACCAAATTATTTGCAAAATTATAGGTAACTTCTAAAAGCCAACAAGTAGTTTAGTAAACACAGCTACGTAATCTCAATTGGCAACTAAAACGCAGAACAAAGAGATTGAGCTACAAATAGTCTGGGCTGAAATGGACTCAAATCCACAAAATGTAAAGTTCAGCACGCCAGTGATAAAATCAAGTCAGCCATGAACAATACAGAAGATGAAACAACAGCAGTAAACACATTGCTAGGTAGACTCAAGCATTTCACAAACTTTTCTAAGGAAGTTAAAGAGATATCAAGTACCTGGTAAAATTCATAAATATAGTCCAAAACCTGCAAACATGTGAAGCCTTTATTGCTAAAAAATGTCCTCGAGCAGGGGCCCATCTCAGAAAATCGATCAACCGGAAACAATATTGTAAGGAAGTGGTTCTTGAATATCAACTCTGACTTCTCACTGCAGGTTTTAAACAATTAGATGTAAAGATTCTATGTTCTTTACGAAATACGAAAATTAATGGAACAAATAAAGTAAAACATCTCAGGCAAAGCCGAAATTCTGGTCTAATGTCATAATCTGAAATTTACTAACATCAGTTATCAAGAAGAGGAAGTGTGCCATCAGACCAATTAAAAGTAGAATTGTTAACTAGTATATAGCAATCAGGGAACAATGCATAAATGATTTAAGGAATTTGCCCAAGTCACCTTTCTGTGAGTGGCCGAGACAAGTTGACAAAGGAAGCTTCTGATTCCTTGCCATCTGACTTTGCATCAAAGAAAAATGATGTATCTTGACCGTTTGCATCCTCCACACTTGATGACTCAGTGTAGATGGTAGCAGATGAAGTAGGCTCCGATATTGACCAGCAGACAGAATCCAGAAGGCTGTTAGGGGTAATTGGACGAATGGGAGTTTGGCATGTCTGAAACCACAACAAAGCCTATGTTCATAATGTGCAACTTGAGAAAGAATGGACGAGCACCCAAACTGAAAAAACATGTGCAAACCAAATTCTAATTGTGGGACTTGGGTAGATACCCCAGGTCAAGCTCTACACAACACAATTTCTAAATAGCATGCTGTGAATGTTCTAAAGCATGTTTCAGAAACCAGCTACTTGATGAACTTTCCATCTGAACTCTTTCCCTTCCCACACTTTTTCACCCCCAGGTGGGCCCAAAATCAACAACAATGAAAATTGGAATGAAATAAGAAAGTGAAAAGCGTCGCATGTTTAAGAACTTCCAATGATGTCCATGGAAACCATGCATAGAGGCTGGTTCCATTTTCATTTTTCACAAAACTGGAACCTAAATCCAACGATAAATGCCACATTAAAAAAATACACATAAAAAAGTCATAAAGATCATATTGGTGGCATAAGCAAAACTGTAAGAAGAGTTAGTTGTTGAATTAGTAATGTAACACCAATAGAGCCAACTTTCTAAAAACCTCCAGTGGATACGCATCACTAGAGTAGTGACAACCACAAATGAAAATGGCTCAGTAGTAGAAACAGGAGTACAACTTCAAAAGTAGGAACGTCAGGATCAGATCAAACATCAAAAAGTAGATTCTACCATCTACCTGCATCCGATAATTCCGGCGCTTCCTAACCCGATCTTTGGCCTCGTTTGCTATCTTCTGCCTTTCTTCATGGCTTGCATTAAGCATTGAACAGGCAGAACCATGATGATGTATGGCCCCACCATCTTCCTGGGGATAAACAAAATACCCAAGTTAAAAACTAATCATTTTAGCATGAAAAGCCAAATAATCAACATAGCTTTATGCATGGAACTCTCCTTGAAAATTCGACTGATGTACAATCTCTTACACATTGTAGTTCACTTAAGTTTTATAATTAAACAAGAAGACAAAAGTCCCCCAAAATAAAAGACATGTGTCCGAGTACAGAGATGGTTACAGGGATAGTTACAAGTGCGATAAACAGAGACCAAAGCACACAAGAAACAACACATGGGGCTGTAACTCGAGTAGATACATTTAGGAACTAAAATCAGACGAGTTTTAGGTTTGAGGATCAAAGAACATAATGCTTGAACGCAGCAATTAAATGCAATAAAACAAATCAAAGAGGACAATTTTAAGGGAAAGGATGGAGAAGGAATCACAACTGCAGATTGAAGAGTACCTCTTTAGTAGTGTCAGTTTGAATTACATCAATTGTAATTGCTGTCTGTCTGGCCAAGTCGGCGGATATGTGAACAAGCCTCTGCAGACGTTTTTCTCTTGCCGTCTTCAACACCCATAGGGGCTAAGGCACAGGATACAATTAGGTTGATGTCACGAAAGTTTAATACTTAATAGAGTAGCCGGTACAAGATATAATTTGTTGTCCAAAACCGCAGCAGTATAAGTTGAAAAAGATAACAACTGATCAAAATTTTCACTAACTCTACCAAACACCAAGAATTCAACACAAGAATCAATATAATTTCAGTATTACCAACAGAGAGAAGCATCACTTACTGTAACAACATTATTCGAATGACCAAGATATTTTCTTACTGAAGGTCCTTCACAAACGACATGACTAGCACCACAACCTACAAACCACTGATCCAAAAATGTAGCGCCTTCTGGTTCTGCAGCCTCAACAACCTAAAGAATGAGAGATGATTACAAGCAGCATGTAAGAGTATAATTCAAAATTTTGAGTGCTGTCAAATTAGTATCCACAATTCCACTAGTGTAAGATACAATGAATGAACGTTTCTTTCTGCAAACCTTTTAGGAATGACATGTGAAGTAAACTCAGGAAACCATGGTAACTTGCAAGAAATATAAAAATTATTGCTTCTTAAAGGGGGAAATACTATACCTTAGCCTGTAGCTCTGGAGACACGTCTTCATCAATGTAAAAGGAATAACCAGATAGTGGCAAACTCATGCTTCTTCTTTTAGACTCTCCTTCAGGAAAGTGAAGCTTAGGTCCTTGAGTAATGTCATATTTATCGGTGCATTCAAGTGAACTAAAAGGCAGGCAAGACTTTTCAGTGCCAGGACTATAAACAAGCCTGTTGAGATCATCTACTGCCACACCACCTTCTCCACAAGTCTTAACGCTATACAGAGATTCACTCAACCTCACTGATTACATCCGGGAAAAAGAAAAAAACAAAAAAAAAAACAAAACATAAGCAATTTTTAATTAAAAATATTCAGATAAATCAAATATTAAAGTCTCCTTAAACAGAGGACACCTAAGGTGTATTAATACATCTCCCAAGTGCTGCTTTCAAGAAGCCAGATAAGCAATGATCCACTTTTTGCGAATGCAAAGTAGCAACGTTGCATAGGGCTGTTAAAAACTGATCAGGGATATCACTTTATTGTATATTTCTTCAAAAAGATGATGCCTTTAATATCACAAATTCTAACACAACCCATAACCTCAGTTTAAAGTAGCTGAATGGACTTTTTCAGTTCTTAGAAATGAGTCTCTTATTGCAGTTCAGGCATGACATGTTACGTGAACTCTAGGCACGAAACGTAAAGGCTAACAACCCAAACAGGATAAAGAGTAACCCTTGAGCATTATCACAATCAACAGTCTGAAAAGGATAATACTTACCATTTCTTCTGACACTGTCCACAAACCATCCAAGCGTGACAACAAAAAGGCCATTTTTTTGTCCATGTTTCGAAGCATGCTCAAACTTGCGTCCACGAAGGCTGTTGGAAGTGTTAAGAAATGGAAGACTGGACTGTTGACGGCACTGTGTAATTGAAGATAACTAGGCACATAACTATGTTCTAAAATATAAGCCTATGCATCCATGCGTAAAATTCCTCAAGAAACAATACTACAGGAAACTGCATCCTCAACAAACATAGACTCAAAGTTAGGCTGGAAAGACTGCTAAATTAATCAGAGACAAAGGATATCTGTACAACCAAATGAGTACACTGCGGATGCAGATGTGGACTATATTCACCACCCAATCTATCAGTTGCAGCCATCACTTGCTTCCTTGCTTCTGTAAATTAAATTATACATCAAAGTAGTTTGAATAATGTAATTGGAATATATGGACACTAACATAATGAACAATTCAAAAGGCTAGAAACACACGAAAATAACCAAGTAGCATCAAACCAGGGAAATTCGAAACCTTGGGAACTTCTCAAGGAAAAAGAATAAACCAAGGAAAGTGAGACCTCGAAAAAAGGAGACCCAAAAACTACCAGAAATGAACAAATGGCACAGTTAGTTGCTGCGAGATCTTTTGCAGAACAAAACAGAAGGAGGTCAATCCTTGTGATAATCACATTATATCGAACCTTACAGAACCAACAGGCCCTTTAAGAACCAAATACAACAACAACAACAACAACAACAACAACAACAACAACATACCCAGTATATTCCCAACTCGGTTGGGGTCTAGAGGGTCAAGATGTACGCAGCCTTACCCCTGTATTTCAATACAGAGAGGCTGTTTAAGTAGTACGACCCGAGATGCATTGGTGCATTGATATATTGATTTCCGACAACTTTACCAAATTAAGAAGCGTCGGAATTTAAATGAGTCATTTTGATCTAATCCATTTGTAGCAAAAAGCTGAAAGAATTGTCAATAATGACTCTTCCAGCTCCATTTGCAATGGATATCAGAAATGAAAACTTCACTCACAAACTATGGAATGGGAGGATCAAAAGTAAGCAGAAATGAAAGAGCAAAACTACATGCATTACCAACATTTGACATTTTTTTCGGTTATTATTTAAACAGTTCGAGTTTACCCTTTTTCCTTTTGGATCAACCATAACTGCAAGCATCATACTTGGCATGCAAATGAACCCTACAACATCTTCATACAACAAAATTAGCTCTCCGCTTCCCAATCGGAAAAACTCTCAACTTTGACAATTTAAGGAGAATTCTATTTGAGATAACACAGTATTGGACTAGTTATCCAAGTCCAATGCACAACTAATGACTCAAAGAAGACATCCTACATATCAGCACTACCAAACAGTTCAAGCGCTCTTGTTACAGGTCAACCTGCACAGGGAAGAAGCTATCTCTAAAGTTCAAACTATTACACACAAACAAATACCAATGGAAGCAATAAACAGGAAATAAGAGCATATGTGAATTCGGCAGAGACACAGAGAAACAATCAATAACATCATGATTCACAAGAATAGAAACCTTTAGAGAGCCCTGTAACACAGATAACAAGGCCAGCAAAGGGTCCGCGGGATTTGTTCTTGGAAGCCAGTTCACCAGCTCCGGAGACTATTGATACATGAGACATTGACTCCACTGCACAGGATTGGAATTCACGTCCGCCTCTAAACGAAGGCGTGGATGTTGGAATTTCTGCAAATAGCCTTGAACATCCCTTGCTATTAATCACCTCCGCTCCTTTCATTCGATAAAATCATACACCGTTCCCAAACAAGAAAAATGCAAAGAAGAGTGATATTTGAATCGGGCTCACTATGATGTAAAATTCAACCCTTTATGCCTTTAAAAAGGGTATAAACAACCAAATTGCAAAAGGACAATTACAATAACCGATCAAAGAAGGAAAACAAAAGTTGGGTTCCGGTCAAATAGTGAAAAAAGGAAGAATTTCGTGGTATGAATTTTGGGAGGGAAAAGGAAAAAAAGGGCCGTGATTGAATTGGGATATTCCAGTATGAAGTGGGGAAAAAAAAACAACCAAAGAAATAGAAAAGTGAGTCAAAACACACAATAAAACAGAGGAATGCTCAGAAGAATCTTTAATCCTTTTTTTTCTTTCTGCTGACAGAATGATGAGAAAGCGATCACTAAAGGAAAGGGTACAAAACAAAAGTCGAATTTTCGAATGAATTGAAGAGTACTGAGATGAGACTTGATTAATAAAGAATGTGACTTTGTGTCTGAGTGTGTGTGTCTTTTCGTGCTGAGAATTTTCTGCAGCTTTTGCTTTTATGAAGGAGGGATTTTGAGGATATACTTTAAGATGAGAAATGAACTGAAATTGGCGTGCTAAAAATGGAATTTTGAGAGGTTTGTAATCATGGCGGTCTGTAAAATTTTCGCCTTTTTGTGATTCAATCGAGCAGTTTCAGTTTCTGCGGTTCTGTGGTTAGTTCTTTGTTTGTTACAGTAAAAAAACATTTGAACTTGAGTCCCAGAAATCGTTCTTATTTCTTACCCTGGTTGAAGGACCCGACCCGAACGTTATTGGACGTTACATTGATGATGATTGTTTTGGGGAAAAATCCACTTTATGTATCTTAAAAACTGTTCTCCCCAAATTATGTACCTTATGTTTAAAATTTGTTGTTTAAAGTACTTTTTCAAAGGTAAAATGGGAAACTAACAAATTTCTTTTCCTAACCTACTTCGTTGTTGCCCACAAACTTCTGGAAGAGATCAAATTGAACCATTAATTTTATTGATTTCTTACAAAAATTTATCTTTCTATAAGATTTCAGAAAATTGCACCTAGATGTTTGGTCAAACATTTCCTATGACTTCCGGTGCTATATTTGACGCACATATTTTTTTATTATAAAGCATTTTTCTATATTAGTAGTTTTGTTTATATTTTATTCGTCGTTTTGTATGATTATTTTAAAAATATTCTTTTAGTTCTTTCTTTTCTTTTGATACTTTTTTGTTCAAGTTTTTCGAACTTTGATGCATTTCTAGTAATACATAATTTTTTTAGATTTTGTCTAAAATATAAATATAACTTATAATAAGAAAAAATTAGCTAAAATAAAAAATATGTACATTAAAAAGAATAAGAATTTATTTTTATTATTTTAGCTATGTTTTCCTTATATTTTAGGCAAATAAAAATAAAATTTAAAAAAATAAGTATAATTTCTAGAAATGCATCAAAGTACCAAAACCTTGAGCAAAAAGTACAAAAAAAGGACTATAAATATTTGTTTAAAAATAATCATGCAAAATGACATATAAAAATATAAATAAAACTAATAATAAAGAAAAAACTCGTTAGAATAAAATAAATATGTACGTCAAAAAACAATATACACTGGTAGTCATGGCAAATTGTTGACTAAAAATCTAAGTTCAATTTGCTGAAATCTGACTAAAAGACAAATTTGTGTAAAATCCATAAAATTTATGGTGTAATTTGTTCTTTTCCAGAAGTTTATGGGCAATAACGAAATAGATTAGCACAAAATTTTGTAAGTTTCCCATTTTGCCCTTGAAAAAGTACTTAAAACAACAAAATTCAAGCACAAGGTACTTAATTTGGGTAGACCAATTCTTAGGGTACATAATTTGAAGACCTCCTATTCTTAGGGTACATAAAGTGGCTTTTTCCCATTGTTTTGTTTTTCATTTGGAACACTAGCTAGTATTTAAAATATTAAATAAGACAATTGATAAATACATAACTATTTTGTTATATAAAGAGCAAAAATTTTTTAATTGATGATAATACCCCTATATAAAATTTTAACACAACCACTATAATTAATTTCTTTTATTTTCTCCCTGTATTAATGGATCATGTAAAGTCAATCTCCTATTCCAATTTTTTTTTTTAAAAAAAAAAACACTTCCGTAACTTCTTTTTCTTCTCTAAAACAAAAAAAAAAAAAACTTGTAACTTTTTTTCCTTCTCCAAATTCAAAAAAAAAAAAAAACTTGTGCAACTTTTTCTTCTCATTTCATGTGATCATGAATTAAAACTTCCAGTACTGAATGGAAAAAAAAAAAAAAAACTATCGAAACATGATACATGAGAATTTTTGTGGCGAACCAAATAATAATAATAATAATAAATTATCAACATAAAAAATCACATGTCAATTTTTTATTTGCTTGGAATCGAATTGCGTATTTTATGTTAATATTTCTTTTTTTGGTTCTCTACAAAAATTCTCAAATATCATGTTTCAATATTTTTCTTATTTAGTGCTGGAAGTTTTAATTCAAGATTATAGGAAACAAGAAAAATAAAAAGTTATACGGATTTTTTTATTTTTTATTTGGGGAAGAAAAAAAAAGTAAGGAATTTTTTTTTTTTTTTGGAATAGAAGATTGGATTTTACCTTATCCATAAAAGAAGGGAGAAAATAAAAGAAATTACTAAAATTTTATTTAAGGATATTATTGGTAATTGGAAAGATTTACACTTTATATAACAAAAGAGCTCTGTATTTATTAATTGCCATTAAATAATTAGAATTTAAATAACTGTAGTTGCAAATATAAGTGAAGAGCGTAAAATAATTATTATCCTTTTCATATAAAATAATTTGAATGTTAAAAAAAACAAAGTATACATGCTTAAAATTTGTTTGTAAGAACATTATACTCTCTCAGTCCTATTTGTAAGGCGTAAATAACTGTATTGTCAAAACGAGTAAAAGCAAAGTAGCTATTGTTTTGTCAAAAAATATGCTAAATTAGCTACGTTGATACTACTGAATTAAAGAATGGATAAATTTGGAATAACATTATAACTTAATAATCTCAAAAAATCAAATGTCATAAAAATAGGATAAAAAATCTTTCAAAAAAAAAATTATAATAGGAGTAGAGGAGTATTAAAAAAACTCCACCCAATTCATTTTTAAATAAATTGAATCAAACTTGATGGGATGATAGAAGTGCCTAATATTGCTTCATAATTATATCCATTTAATTTTCCGAAAATTTCACTTTTAATAAGTTTTTGCCAAAAAGAAGTTGAATTAGTTTCTACAAATTTAGGATTTTCTTCGATGTGCTGCAAATTTGATCATTAAGCAAAAAAAGTACTTTCTCTTACACACAAAAGATTTCTATATTTAGTAAAAAAAATTATAATCATTTTAAGACAAAGAGATTATCAAATTTCAAAGGATATCCATTATCAACTTGATTGAGTAGTTTCATTAAAATATACAGCAACAACTCACAATTTTATGTTTTTGTAATAATGTATGAAAAATATTGGTCAACCCATGAAAAACTAGGGGAAAAAATAACAGCTATTCTACCAATGGATGTTGAGGCTTAAAATTAACAAATGTTGCCTGCCATTAGGACAGCCCCAATAATTACAAGACATACTTGATCCGTCATACAAAAATAATCCAATTTAATAAAAAAAGTTTGTCCCAAAAAAATAATACAGTTTCACAAAAGTCAAAATTAATTGAATTGAAATGACTTAAATATCCAAAGAGCAGTGGTAAGAAAAACAAAATACACTTCCTTTGATTTTCATTTTTTTTAGTTTTTTCTCCTATTTTTTCAAATGATTATATCTTTTAATACATGAATAATTAAAAAATGTGTTATATATCGAATTAATCTATGTAACGAGATTTTTTCATCAAGATCCATTGTCAATATTTTTTTAGATAAAAATTTTGATCAAATTTAAGTTGTAAAATAAATGCATAAGTAATTAACTTTTATAGAAATAACTAGAAGGGGCATTAGTAGAAGTTAGGGACATAAAATGAATTGTACATTTGTTATGTTGATCAAATTAAAAAAATTGTACATTTTTAAACTAGATTATTTTTCAAGGACGGAAGGAGTATATTATTTGCGAAATAACCCCAATTATGATGCCTAAATTGCTAATTACCACTTCTCATTAAAAAAACTGAAGACCTGTCCACTCAAGTAAGTACATAGTGATGAGATTGAATCGTGCAATTCAGCTCTCCTCCCTTGAAATTTGAAAACATTGTACATTAAAAATCATAAATAAAGTAGCCATGATGTGTAATGATTATTCCCTGTTTGATTATAGCAAATGTAGTAACTTCATTGTACCGTGACGATTTTTTACATAAATTTTTCATCGACGCCCGTATGGGGACAAATACTTAGGTCTTATACTGTATCGTACATATTTTACGGAAAATTATCTGGAATTTTCTGGCTACTAGTATGTGTCCAACCAAATAAGTACTGTTAAATCTTAAAGCCAATAAAGCTATGAAATTAACCCCCAAAAAAATCGTTCACTTAAATACGCTTCACTTATAATTCTCAGTATTTCTCACTCTTATCTCGACAACAAAAAAATTTCTATTTAAGTTCACCACTCACCAACAAAATAATTTTGTCGATACCAATAATAATTCTTTTCTTTTTTCTTTTTTTTTACCGAACAGTAACTCTTCGAGTCTTTTATTATTATCATCATGTCAATTTCAACCATGAGAACCTTATAAACTCCCATGTTGTGGGATTCTTTCTATGTATTGTTCTTGGAGATTCAATCCTACCATTTTATTAAGCAAAATGGATTATAAACCTGTGCTGGGGCATAATCTGCTTAGTAAAGGTAAATGGAAGTAGAAATAGTGTAAACGATCTATTTTAGTGATAATTCCCTTTATTATTCACCATTCCTATTCTTAACCATCACTTTCGTTTTCATTTTTATTAGGCAATGTTTAACCAACAATCTAATTCAATATTATCAGGGGCGTAGACAGGGGGATCAGCAGGGGTTGTGGCCTCCCCTTCCCAATTTTTTTTTTATAAAGAGATGGTTTAATTTTGTTGTATAAAATTTCAAAAAATCAAAATTTCACCCTTGCTAATTGAAAAATTTATCATTTCGCCCATACAATTCATACTTTCTGGTTCCGCCACTGAATTTTATTACTCGGCTACACACATGCATGACCCACCAACACAACCTTCAAACCGATCTAAGTGTAATATATCAAGTTTGGTTTTGCCTTTGTTTTTTCCTTTTCCCTTTTCATTTTTGTTTTCTTTTGTGAGATTTGACAAAACAGGGGATGCCTTGCTCATTTAAACCGTTGACCTAGTTGATCTAAAACGGTTTGTGAAAATACAGTGGTTGAGCAACCTTTTTAGGTACTCATTTCCCTAGATACATCTGTTAAGAACAATAATAATTATACACGAAATGATGAATTCTTATCATAAAATTTTTTACAAAATATTGTGATAAGAGCCATTTCCTTATCTCATTATTCATCCTGACAGAAGTTGACATTTGCATCTAGATTTCTAAAGTAATGGCCATAACTAAAGAATGGAATGTTGTACAAGTACTTAGGGTTGGCAGAAGAACGATCCAAAAAAAAGGTGCCAAAATAAGATAGGCAACGCCAATAAAAGTAGGCAAAGTGAAGTTGACAGAACAATACATAGAATTTGATAAAGATTGTCAATAAGGGATCAACCGCAGAATTTTGAATGTGTTCAAAGTACGAGTACACCTTCTTTTCAGAATTTCTTTTTTTATTATTTTTATTTTAATTTTTCCTTTTATGAGTCAATCATGTACTGTGAATTTGAGTAGTAATATCAAATGAACATACTACTTTGCTACTCCCTCGGTCTTTATTATAAGACATTTTGATTTGTCTTAGATTTTTTTAATATATTTTTTCAATTGAAAAAAGAATCTTAAAAATATTTTTTGATAATTAGAGAACACAATGAATGTGAAAATATAATTATAAGATTTTCTTCAATAAAAAAATAGATTAAATAAAATTTAGGACAAATCAAAATGTCTGATAATAAGGACCGGAAAGAGTATTTTACTTGCTCAATCGTATAATATAGTATTTCATTCAATTAGTCATTTTTGAAATGCAATTTTTGACATAGAGTCAGTTTACCATATTAATTTTTACATTGTTCTTATCATCTTATGTGTTTCCGCAGTGCAAAACAAAATTATGTCCCGAAGTTTTAACCTCAACTTTCCTACAGTACAAACTAATAAATCTTCCCAAGGGGTATATTTCTTTCAAGTAAAAGAAGGGGGAAAAAGCAAATTTTCATAGGGCTTCATGAGTTGCCATCATCCATGGCTACGAGGACCACAATAACAAACATCAAAACGCTTTCATTGGAAGAGGTGCCCTTTTCATTTCTTCTCTTACATCCAAAATTAATGCCTAATTCCTTTTGTTTTGTGTGTGCGGTATTCAATGGCTGTTAATTAATGTGCTGCTAATTTGGCATCGCATATGGTGATCTTGTCATTTTGGCTATTCATTGAACAGGGCGAAAGTGAAAGGTTTTAGAAAGGAAAAGAAAAGAAGAAGAATTGTAAAATATGGATCTCTTTCAAACTAATCAAACCCTCAGTTCAATTAATTAATTGCCAGTGATAAGTAACATAGCATTATGCAATAATATATCGTGCTTACCAAACAATGAGTACCGTGTAAATAAATTGTTCATTTTATAAAGAAAAATTGATTAGAAAACTTTTTTTTTTTCTCATATACGTGTACATTTGGCTTTGTATGTAGAGCTATTTTTTTTTTTTTTTTTTTTGAAATATGGCTCTGTATGTAGAGATTGGTTAACCTAAATTCATATGGATACGTAAGATAAGTTTCTAATACAAGTTTCTAATTCGATGGTATAGAGCATTAATTAAATTCATATTTCCCCTGGCGTCTTTTTGTTTGCTTTACATTCTCGGTTTGTATTAAAATCGAAGGTGTATGATTAACGTTACATATTCTCAACTTCACATAACTGATAGTGCAAAAGACTTTAAAAAAAGAAGCATAAGATTAAAAATAAACCTATCGGTTGTGTGATACACAAAGTTGAATGTTGATCTATCATAACAATACCCATTAGCTTGAGAGGGAATCAAGTCACATGTTCTGCTGTCTTTATTCATAGTCTTTGCTAATTTATCAGCAATGACATCAGTTTCTCTATATATATTAGTATTGCGTCAACAAGAAATTGACGTAAAATGTTAATTTTATTCAATTGATTTACACTGTATATGTAGAAGATTTAAGGTCAAGGTCATTTTTCTTTCTTTTTTTTTTTTTTACAATAAAAAACGCAAAAGCTTAAATTCAAAATAAAACAATTAACAATAGAATTTCACTAACTACATCTTACTTCAACCGCGACTCAACACCAAAAAAGGAGAAGCCAAACATCAGAACTCCCTTGAGACGTTGGTTCCCATGACGTCAAAATAATTTATTACGAAATTTGTCTCTCTGAAGACAATACCGGATGATATTCATGACATTAAAGATTAGGCACATTAAAAGAAAATGACAAAAATTGTTAGAGATTACTCGGGATCCGAGAGCCCAAAATTATATCCTCAAATATATCATCATTTTCTCCTTCTAAATCACCCATATCTGGCGGCTCTTCCAATGAGAAAATAAGTCGCTGATCCGCTTGAATAGCCTCAATCATATCAGCATCACCTGGATCGAAAGAATTTGGCCGCTTGTCAAATTCTTCCAGTTCATCGGAACCGTCAATTACATAAACTGCTTGGTCAAGGTCATTTTTCTTTCTTACGTTCGAGTCACGAAAAATTTGCAACTGTGATGTTAACTCTTCATCAACCTATTAATTCCCCTACGTTAAGAGTGCACGGATCCCTTACTTTTGAGGTCGCAAACTCAACTCATGTCTTCATTAAATCCATTTCTCCCTTATTCGATTAATTCTCTTTTTGATACCGAGGCAGTATCCAATATCTTATTTACTATCAGTTTACTTACTTTTTACTATAATTATCCATTTCTCGGGAATCGATCTCATCGTCAAGATTGAGCGCGTATGGTTTTTACTTGAGCAAACTGCAAAGTTGCAAACTTGCATTTATACGTATGGTTTTGCTTAATTCAGTTCATTCAACGACAAATATAGTGGAAATTTTCTTTATATAAAGAAAAATAAACAAGCACGACTCTAGATTATAGAGAGTTAGACTATAACAACCTACAGTTAAGGTCTTATAATTCACCTTATACGCTATCAGTGGCGGAGTCAGGATTTTAGATTAGGGGGTGCGAAATAATTCAAGAGGCCAAGTGCACTATTTTTTTTTTTTTAAAATATATATATATATGTATATTAATTTTTATTAAAAAATACTAATGTAATTTTATTTTCTCATTCAATAGACTACAACGAAATTTTGAGAACCGTTTCATTAATATTTTACACATTTTTGCCACTAGAAGTCATGGTGTTGTGTTGTTCAAATTTATATTTTAAGATATATATTTTTTTGTGGAAAATTTTAGAACAAAACCTCCTAAATTTGACAAGTTGTTTATGTAAGAAATAAAGAACATACTTCTTTCTATTACATCAAAACCAATACAAGAAAAAAATAGTATAATTAATTTCAATTTGACATCAAGATTTGTTCTTTCGACAAAAAGATTTGATCATTTTATAATTTTAGTTTTTCTATTAACTGTTTAGCATACAAAAATTCTCTAGGCTTTTGTTTTTATTTTAATTTGAGTCCTGATTTGATCTTAAATGCATATTAGTACAATTCATTTGGACCTTGACTTATTATTAAACGGACATTTATATGTCATTTGGAAAATATGAAATTAATATTATTATTTTCTTTTGTAAAAACTTTGCTATTTCATTTATTTTTCACTTAAAAATTGCATATATTGAGTGTAAATAAACATTGTTTCTAATCTTTTTATGTAAATTAACTCAAACTTTTCAATTATCATCTTGAAATTTTTAGAGGGGCTGCGAAAATAACAAATTTATATATTGTTTAATAATTCCAATATATATATTTAAAATAATAAAAAACTGAGGGGGTGCTGCCGAATCGGTTGGCCACCCCCTGGCTCCGCCGTTGCACGCTACATCTAACTATAAAAGAAGAGATGCATACTATGTGTAACCTTGGCTAAGCTAAATTGGCTAAATTATAACAATATTTTTTTTTGTCAAAAACGATAATTATATTAAAATTTAAAAAAACATAAATCAACTACACGGTTGAGCGGTAGAATCCAAAAGATTGAGCTACACAATCCTACGATTGAATTATTATAAATTTTCTTACGTGACTTTTAAATCCACAGAAGAAAAACACGTTCACCATCCGTGTACAAATATTGAAAAGACTAAATTAGTCAGATTAAAGAAACATTTATGGTAGTTAAGCATCTAATATCCAAATAGGTCTACTAAAAATAAGATAATACAAAAAGAAAACAGTAATAGAATGAGGTTCCAATGCCGATCTAATCAAAACTAAAACTGAATGTATTGGCAGAGTAGCCAAACAAACCTAGAAGTTTCAGTATGGAGATTTTCCTTCATTTTTGCATCCTTAGCTCCATGTTTTCCGTATTTTCATTCCTTAATTGTCCAATAGTGTCTAGATTCATACCTCCTCCTCCATTAGATCTGATAGTTTTTAGATCTGTTGAGAAAATATTTACAAATAACAAAAGAATAATAAAACCTCCTAAAAAGGAGGATACGATATCTCCAACCCGAGAAATCGGACACCAATCATAGGGTGAGCATATAAACACCCATTAAAGGCTAAGCAAAACTTCCGAAAAATTGGAAGGGCGAAGACTCCCAAACGGGAGAGCTAATCAGCTAACTCTATATAATTCAAGATACAATGGATTCAATGAGCACAATTTCCGAGCCCTTAAAGTAATTCTATCTAATGGGCCAAAGTCTGTTATGGACCAGCGAGATGGATTCAACGTATGCAATTAAAGGCCCGTAGAAATTCTCCAAAATTAACCATTTCCCTCCATAGCTAGTGCCTCCACAAAATTCAAAAACACCAAAATAGAAAACCATCCCAGCTACCCCCGCCACAAGCTTCGAAATCTCGCCGGAGACCAGTCACCGACCACCGGCAACCAGCAAACAATCGCCCAGTACTTCCAAATTAATCCTCAATGGCTTCGAATCATAGCTCAAACCGCAAGAAGAAGCTCGGATCTTCACAGCCGGTCAGAGCTCGCGAATTTCCCAAGATTTTGGCGGACGATGACGATTTTCAAGACCCATGTCCCTCTTTCATTACCCATTCCAAAACCAGCTTAACACAAAACCCACTCAAACCTTCCAACAGTTTTACCAACCGCCCACCCAAGAAGTTGAAGCCGAGTCAAGGAATTGCCAATCCTGGGAAAGAGAACAACCTTATTGCTCCAGATGATAATGGGTTGCGTGGGAAGGAATTCGACATGGATTGGTTGGATATTGGATTGGATTCTACTGGATTGGATTCTATCGGATTGGATTCTATCGAATCAACCTTAGATTGTGAGGTCAGCGGGAGTTTTAGGGACATTGAGCCAAAAACTGAGGTGGGCTTGGAAGAAGAAGGGAAACCGGAAAGTTATTCAACTTTCGAAAATTTAGGGTTAGAGAAATGTGAAGTGGAGGCTTGTGATGATGAATTTGAAGGCGGGACACAGCTAGACATATTGCTCAAGTTATGTGAGGCCGATGAGGAAGTGGAGGGTTGTGATAAAGTTTCGAATTTTAGTGACAACGAGGAATTTTGCAGGGAATGGGAGGAGGAGGAGGAGGAGGAGCAGGAGGAGGAACTCGGAGATGAATCAATTTGTTGTCCACTATGTGGAAATGACATTACAGGGTTGACAGATGAATTAAGGCAAGTTCACACTAATGAGTGCCTTGACAAAGATGGGACCGCTAATGAGGTATTACAAACTTCTTTCATGGAAATCTTTTCTATAATTAACATGCATTGGTATGTAATTGTAGTGTATTTTTTATCCACGTTGTTATATGGATCCTCATGTAGCAAGTCGTTCTCAGGGATATGTTACTGCCAGTTTGTTTTTCTTAAATTGGAAATCTTATCCGTCTTCGTTGCTTCCGTAGCTAGTTTATTTGCTCTTCAGTATTCTGAGGTAACAAGGAAAAGATGAGAGAAAGAAGGCCAAGCAAAGATACTTTTACCAACATGTTACGAATGTCCTGTCTCCTGGAATCGAGCGTATTTTAGAATCTCTGCATGAGAACTAGTAATGATTTATTTGGTGATTTCCACTACCATACTAGATGAGACAATTGTTTCATGAAGAAATTGAGTTGTTTTACAAATTGTGGTCGATTGGCTTATTTGAACCACGGAACGAGTTGGTGTCTTTCTTCAACTGCACTTTTGTGTAGTATGGGATTTGTTGTGTTCAACATCAACAAAATATAGTTTCAACATATAATTTGTTGTGTTGCCACCAGTAAATCAAAATATAGTTTCAGTACCTTGTTTGTGAATATATCTTATTTGCAATCTAAAAATTAAATAAAATCATACCATCTCGGATAGAGCTGACTTACAGACCAATAATTGTTCATTTTGTCCTTGTCTTAAAGTTTTTCTACTCTTAATGCAATTTGGTAAGAGATTAAGTGCAGGGGTTTATTGGATGTTGATTATCGGAATGAGAAATGGAACTAACTGTTATTTGATGGTGCACTTGCAGATGATTCCGCCCCATGAATCTGAGGTTTATCGGTCTCCTGGGCAAGTTCTTGATAATCCTCCTCATCTATCACCTAGTAAAGTAGTTGATGTATCTCCTGTTCTAGAGTGGCTACGCAATCTAGGTCTTGCAAAATACGAAGAAATTTTCGTGCGAGAAGAGATTGACTGGGATACCTTAAAGTGGCTGACGGAAGAGGTATGTACAACCCTGCTGATTGATCCCTTCTTTTTTTTTCCACATTAGGCATAAGAGAAAGGAAATACTGTAGGTCTCACCAGTCAGGGGAACCTTAATGCCCTAGGTGATGAATGCTTACCACCAGTTGAGCCTCTTTTGCCGTCTAGTCAAGGATAGTAAAAAAATTGAACTGCATGATCACCTCTTTGGTTCTTACTGTATAGAATCTGTTGTGTGTGCTACCACCAGAATGTATGGGTAGTCACCATAGAAGTCGTTAGGTTGAGAACAATCAGTCAACATTTGGTTTTTATCTGGGTTAAGAATGAACTCTTTTTTAAACTTAAGGTTGCACGCATGCAACCATTGATTCAAGGTGAGAAATCCTAGGCACAAATTGAGGATTTCCACTTAACTAAGCCATTAGCAGCTCTAGTTCTCTCCATGGGATCTACTGAAATTATTTGTGTTCAAGATAATTTTTCCTTGATCTAGTTGGATGAATTTTCAATTTTACACCCTTGGCTAGTGCAGGATCTTTGTGGCATGGGTGTTGCTGCACTTGGTCCCAGGAAGAAGCTAATTCATGCCATTAATGATCTAAGGAAGGAGGGCTGCAATATGGAGGAAACTCACATTGATGACACAAAAGTTGTGCCAAATGAGATCAATAAGTGTGGAACAAACAAATTAATTACAGATTTCTTTCCAGGTTCTGCTTCTGGCAGAAGGAGAGAGAGCAGCATTTTCAAAGCACCAAAGGAGGTTCCACAAAGTCACACAAATATTGCTCCAGGAATTCGAAGGAAGAAAAAGCATATAAAAGATTTGAAAAATAAAAATACTCCCATTTGGTGTGACATCCCAGGAACCCCATTTCGAGTGGTAGGAGTTCATTTCCTCTAGGTGCAATTTTATATTATTTTTTTTGCCTTTTCCATTGCTTTTATTATCGAATCATGTCTGACTCTGTTTAGAAGAGGTCTTTATATTCTCATACTTAAGTGTGTACCTTAATTAATCAAAAGATCTCTTGTTTAGATAATTAAATTATTTATCTTAACCATATATTTGTCTATCACATATTCTTCTCTTGTCTTTGTATCTTGCGGCTTCTTCCTGATAACTGTAGTTAGAGTTAGACCAGATAAAAGATTTGTGTTTCTGTACGTGACATGTTTTAGCTCTTTGATTCACAAGTTGGTTACCAAGATTGCTTTATGCTTGGAACTGTTATATTGAGTTATGTCTTTGATATTTTAATTTACTGAAATGGGATATTGGAATAATGTGGATCAACTTAGGTAACTGACACAATTTCTTAGAACTTTTGTTAGTCTTCTAATAACTATCCTGACAACACAAGAGTGGTCTTGTCACCTGTGTGTGTGTCTGTGTGTTCCAGAGCACTGACATTTATTAAACTTGGTATTTGGTTTTCTTCCAGGACGCCTTCAAATACCTAAGAAGAGATTGTTCGCATTGGTTTCTGACTCACTTTCATATGGATCGTAAGTGGTGCTTAATGCTTTTATCTTGCTACGTCTTAGTGACAAAGATTACAGTATTCTTGCAAAGTAGCTCAATTTCTTCCAATAATGATTAGCTGATTATGCAGTTTACGCAGAGTAGCATACTTAATATCTTCCAATATTGATTAGCTAACTATGTTTCAAGTGTTCTGGTCTTATTTCCTGATGGGTTTTTTTTGATACTTGATGAGGATTTTAGTTTCATTTTTCTTTGCCAAGAAGTGTAGAGTTTCTCCTTGAAACTTCTGGTTCAGTTAATTGGTGCTTCTGGACATAAGGACCGTGAATATTATCTTATGTGTTTATGTTCGTTTGTGAGCAAGAGTCTATCGAATGTTTCCATCCTTGCTAATGCACAGTTAATGTATCTGCAGCAGAGCTATTTGCATAGATTGTGTTGCATTAGTCTCACAGTCTGACCTCCCCTTACCTCAGCTTCAGTTTCTAATGTATGATTTTTACTTGATCGTATGATTACAGATTATCAAGGTTTGACGAGGTCCTTCTCTCATGGGAGGATTTATTGTTCCTCCATCACAGCCAAACTTGTCAATATGAAACTCGGTATTGCATGGGACAAACTGCAAATTTTGCCTCTTAATCAGAAGGTGAATATTGCTGGAATTGATGTCACTTGCTTTGATGCCAATCATTGTCCAGGTGCGATTATAATTCTCTTTGAACCACCCAATGGTAAGGTAAACCCAAAATCATATCTACAGTTGGTTTCTGCATATTCTGGTGATATCATGACCTCTCTATGATCTGACTCAATATCATTTATGCGCCTAGGCTGTGCTACACACTGGAGATTTTCGTTTTTGCGAAGAAATGACAAAAATCCCTACGCTGCAGACTTCTCGTATTCATAGGCTCATCCTCGATACCACCTATTGTGACCCTCAGGTTAGATTGTATACTCACTTATGACTCCAATGTTTATACCATGAGTAAGCTAGGTAGAGCCCATTTCTGTTACAACCATGGGAAAGCTGTTTGGTTTGTCTTACTTATACTCTAAACCTTTCAGGGCTCATATCTTACAGGCAATGAGTGCTAGTTAAAAAAAATTTAAATTAATTGGTCAAGGAAATTATGTTTTGTTGGCTAAGACTTTCTCATGCATGACCCACTTTCAGAAACAGTTGGAATGTGAAACTGCAATGCTCGTGTATTGTGGGACTCTGTACTAACTTGGGGTATTTCTGGTTCTTTCAGTATGATTTTCCAAAACAGGAGGCTGTGATTCAGTTTGTCATTGAGGCCATCCAAGCTGAAGATTTTAACCCAAAGACCCTATTTTTGATTGGGAGCTATACAATTGGTAGGGTCTATACCCTGGCTAAATCATTTGCTCTTGCTCAACACTTATCTTCCGTCCTTGCCTTACTACCGTCATCTATGCTTCTGTTTCTCATGTTACTTGTTTTACTGCTAATACCGTATACTTTTATTTCCTCTGATTTCCCTTCTTGGCAGGTAAGGAAAGGTTGTTTCTAGAGTTGGCCCGTGTTCTTCGTAAAAAGGTGTATGTCAATGCAGCTAAATTGCGTATTTTGGAATGCCTTGGATTCCCAAAGGAAGATACCGAGTGGTTTACCCTGAATGAGTATGAAAGTCACATTCATGTGGTGCCCATGTGGGCAATAGCAAGCTTCAAAAGATTGAAGCATTTAGCTAATCAATATTCGGTAAGAACAACGCCAAGGTGCAATCAGTATACCTTTGTGTTTGTTATTGTTTCAATTTAGGTCATGTCTGCTATGGGTAGAATGTTTGCAATTTAAGCCCCGCTTAAGTCATGCTTGGTGAAGCACTGAAGCTGACTAGTTACATGCTTCTTGTTTAGGGTCGTTTCAATCTTATTGTGGCTTTTTCCCCAACTGGTTGGTCCTTTTCAAAGGGAAAGAAGAAGTCACCTGGAAGGAGGTGGCAACAAGGAACCATCATAAGGTGAGGTTTTGTGATTAGATATGAGTTGGTGTGGTTCTATACCAAGAAAATTTTGTGGATATGCATTCAATGACCACTGCTATCACTTTGGTAGTGATAATGTAAACAAAATTGTGATATTTCATAGTTTCTGTTAGTGTTGACCAAAGTTTCATACCTCAGTAGTTTCAATCAGGTTCAGTCATCATCACAATTTGTTTCTATCTGCAACCATTCAGTGTTGTTAACTCTATGAATCACTTTGAAAAAGTACCCACATCATCTTTTTGTTTTACCGGCAACTTTCTCAATTTAAAGAATTTGTTATCATTTATAATTTCAGTTTTTTAGCTTATTCAGCCTCCATCTTTTATGTTTATGTGAAGAACTCTGTCCCTTGTGCCGTTTGACACATTGAAAATAAATGATCTCTTTCGCTCTGGTGTCAAGAGTCAAGAATAGCAGTTTCTATCTGATATATAACATTCTTTACCTCTACATTTTCGTGTTGAGATTGTTTTCTTTCTGCCAACTAATGTCATCAGGATTAGTTTCTTATGAGCGAGCGATAACCATTCATCTCATGTTGTAGTTTATTGTAGGAGAATTGGTTGTCTTAGTTCCAATAAACTGTGTTTTCTTGGCCACAACTTACATGGTTAAACTTGCTGTTTAAGATATCCCTTACTGTTATCAAATTAACCAAGAAGTGCATTAAACGCTTAACATATACAAAACGAGAAGGGGTCTAAGATAATCATTTTGTAACTTCAGCATCTGATTTTTGGACATAAGGATCATGTTTGTCTGGGTGCACTGTTTGACCATTTCTTTTGGTTAAGAACTTTTGTATGCTTGTCAACAGAGCACCTTTAACTCCGCTTCAATTCATTTACTAGAATCTGTGTGGACTCCATCAGGTCCTTGCTGGCTTTAAGGAATGTGCCTAAAACGATGCCAGGAACTCATATGTTTGAACTTGATCTTTGCTCATTGATATTGCTTACAAGTACTTCTATGATCTGTGCATTAATCTAGTAGTCAATTCATAGGACAAAGATGTTGTACTGCATAAAATAGGATAGAGGCTGCACAAGCCTTTCTTGATATTGCATGTATGTATTGATCATTGTAGGCTTTCCTCTGGGCGATGAGCTGGGAAGTTTTGACTGTTAGCAAAACTACAGGTCCTTGGACCTCTTTCTTTACTGTTCAGTATGTTGATGAAGGCATTTTTCCTGCCATTTTCAGGTATGAAGTACCATACAGTGAGCACAGTAGCTTTTCGGAACTCAGAGATTTTGTCAAGTTCATATCACCCGCAACCATAATTCCAAGTGTAAATAATCACGGAGCAGAGTCCACCAATACAATGCTTGCCCACCTTCTGTCTTGAGAGCAATCAAGATAAGAATATCAGGTAATCCAGGAATTACAACTTGACTAGCTGCTATATGGTTAGTTTATTCATGGTGATGTTACTCAATCACAAGAATATTAAGTTATTTGGTTGGGTTATACAGTTATCAGGTGAAAGGAGTTCTAGTCTTACTTTGCAGTTTTTCTTATGTGTATATTATTGTATTTACTGAAAAATTGAACGTTTCATCAAATAACAGTGTTTATCCTCACCGGAATCAAGTTGAAATTAATTTAAGTGCAGTATGGGGGCTCGTATTTTTCTGGTGCCAACAAAAAATTGAATGCCCATTTTATCTTCTGTTCCAATTTAACGTGCTTTGATCACTCCCCCTGCTATACCATTTCACAATCAAGGCATCCAAATTGAGTATCTCAATAAGATCCACAAGGGTGGGAAAGAAAAAAAAAAAATATTGCAAAGGGCATCACAAATCTAAATCACGAAAACAATCAATCATTTTGCAATATCTGATCACTGATCATGTAGATAAATCAACATGTCATTATGAAACAATCCTTGCTGATCTTATTCATCTTCTACTGCGGTAAATATGTTCCCTCTGACCCAAACTAATAATCCACATCGAATTTGAGGTTCTTGAGAGAGTAGAGCACAAATTTTACAAAATAAATTTTCTTTTTTGGAGACAAAGGGAGTAGGTGTTTAAGAGTAGGTGAAAAAAATTAAACTGATTCAAGATACTTATAACTCTGATCATTCAACCGATTCACCATTTCAGCAATAACTCACCTAGTAAAGAGTTTTCCACTTCTGGTGACGTCGATCAAAATATCAAAACGATTTCCAGCAAGTTCAAACAAAGTTCTGCATTCGACTTCGTCCTAACTTTCTAAGTACTCTCTCCGTCCCATAATTATTGTCTAGTTTGAATTTTCATTTCTAGTTCAAATTGTACTAAAAGTAAAATCTTAAACATGACAATAATTTTGGGACCGAGGGAGTAACCAACTAATTAATTAATTTTTTTAAAAAAGAATCAGCTAGGAGATTTGAGGATGGACTTTCATGTCCTTAACTCGATGAACGATCGAAAATGACTGTAAGCTTTCTTCAATAGCACTCCATTACACAATGATCTTCCATTTTCTTCTTTGCCGAAGTTTTTCGTTAGGTCATCTTTCCTTCATCGAAAAAGTCCCAACACTTGGCTATCTCTCTTTTCTCTTTTTTTTTTTTTGTTTTTTTGAATCAGTAATTTAGTATAGTAGGATAATCATTTCTGTTTCTTAATCAACTAGGATGAAGATAGCATTTTGGTGCCGTAAGAAGATCTGCATTCCTGAATGAGAAACCTCCATTACCGCGATTTTTATGACATCTAATATTCTTTTAAATTCAGTATATACACATGATTTGGAGGTCCTCGATGTCTCATTTTTTATAAAGTCATTCTAGTTTCAAATGCAAACGTAGTTTGAGGAAGAATACAAGTGAGCAAACTAGAAGAGGAGGGAATCAAAATGATAGATACTCAGCTAATAAAAATGGAATGTGAAACATATTTTGTCTTTACTCTAGTCAACTTGGGAATAGCACGAGTCTAACTTAATACAGTTCTACTTTTTCTCCTGCTGAGTCAAGTCAACAACAATCACTTTATTTCATATCACCCTTCAGATTCATTCATGTTTCAAGCAATTCTTGATGAAAATTCTCAACTTGAGACAATCATGATGCTGTACATCAAGGCCAACAAGCTTCTTCTTCTGATAGTAACAATTCTGGTTTTATCCTTTCTGGGCATAGGTGTTAATATTGGAAGCCTGTTGGAAAACCTGAAAAACATTGCAAATGGAGGTGTTGCTGATTTGATCAGTGATGCTGCTATCAACTGTGGCTCTGTTGGGAGTGCAACTTCAGCTGATGGCCGTGAATGGATCGGAGAATCAGGCCTGAAATTCAAGTTATCGGGCGAATCAAGAAGCTCTTCATTCCGAGTTGGTGGGGGGAATCATATTCCCTACAGGACTTCAAGAATCTCTGCCACTGAGTTCAGGTACACATTTGCAGTGATTCCAGGTCAGAAAATCGTCCGCTTACATTTTTATCCTGCTTCCTACAGTGGTTTTGAGAAATGGATAGACTGTTTCAGTGTCGAAGCGGGTCCCTTTACTCTCCTTAAGGACTACAGTCCTTCTCTTGCTGCTAAGACTTTGGCTAAAAAGTATATTATTAAAGAATTTTGCTTGAATATAGAAGAATATCACCGACATCTGACCATTACATTCTATGCGTCTTTGATTGGAAAATCCTATGCTTTTGTGAATGGTATTGAGATAATTTCCCATCCAACTGGCCTATATTACACTCCTGAAAATGAGTGTGGAGCTCGTATAGTTGGCCTAAGCAGCAATAGGTTATACATTATTGATAATAGCACTGCTCTTGAAGTGATGCATCGGTTTAACATAGGAGGGGAATCCATAAACTCAATGGAAGATTTTAGGTTGTTTTGCCACTGGGATGAAGATACTGATTATTTGATAGATAGTCACAGAGCTCGTCGCGTGAGTCATCTTGCCCTTAAGTTTAGGCATCAAAACCTTCAGTCATTTATTGTGCCAGCAAAAATTTACCAGACATCCTGGAAACTAGAAGGAGCGAGCCAGGCGGTTTATAACTTTACATGGAAAGTACCAGTGGACTTGGGTTTTGGATATCTTGTCAGGCTCCATTTCTGTGAGCTTGACTGCAGAATGGCAGAGAGAGAGACAAGGTTGTTCAGTGTCCTTATAAATAATCAGACTGTAGAAACAAAAGCCAGCGTGATTGGATGGGGTGGTGATGTTGGAATCCCGATATACAAGGACTATTTAGTTTTAATGGAAAGGGACGATAGAGAAGGAAGCAGCAAGTCTGATCACCTCTTGATTTGTTTACAATCAGTTGATGAGTTAGTTTTTGGACTTCTCAAAGGGCTGGAGATTCTCAAGTTGAGCAACCTTGAAAATAATTTAGCAGCTCATACAAACCCTGTGTTTCCAAAAGGATTGTCAACTTGTAGGACCCTGGAAAACAGACATTTCTCCTCCCTGCTTGACCAAAATGTTATTGGTAGTGCCATGGCTATCCTCATTGTTCTACTAAGCATTTTAACCTATAACTTGAGGAAATTATGGGAGGAGAATATCCATGGAGGAAAGAGTTCCAAGTCTAGCTCAGTTGAACTATCTTGTCGTTGGTTCTCCCTAGCTGAGATCAAGTTAGCTACAGAAAACTTTAGTGAAGGCTGTGTCATTGGGAAGGGTGGATTTGGAAAAGTTTATAAAGGTGTTATTCCTGGTGTTTCACAAGCTGTTGCTATAAAGAGGTTGAATTTCTACTCCAGGCAAGGAGCCCGAGAGTTCTGGGCGGAAATTAAAACACTTTCAAAACTGCGCCACATTCAGCTTGTTTCCTTATAGGCTATTGCAATGAGTTTGAGGAAATGATTCTTGTATACGAATACATTCCAGGCGGCACACTGGCTGACAATCTTTATAAATATGCTAGAAAGGGAAAAATTTGTTCTCTTAGTTGGGAACAGAGGCTTAGAATATGCATCGGTGCTGCACGAGGACTAGAATACTTGCACACGAGCTGTGAATATGGGGTCATACACCGTGACATCAAGGATACTAACATCCTACTGGACGAGGATTTGGTAGCCAAGATTTCAGATTTTGGACTGTCTAAGCTAGAAGAAATCACGGAGTCTAAGAGTTATGTTGAAACCGGAGTTAAAGGCACAATTGGTTATTTGGATCCAGACTATAGGACAAGCCGCAGGTTGACAAGAAAAAGCGATGTGTATTCCTTTGGTGTGGTGATGTTGGTAGTTTTGTCAGGGAAGCCGGTATTGGATGCTACAAATCCTTGGGCAGTTAGTCTGTTATCATCCTTCCGAGAATGTGTAGCAGATGGTGATGCAAGTAAGATTGCTGATCCTAGTATACAGGGGGAAATTTCATCAAGCAGCCTCAGAATGTATGTTGAAATTGTTGAAAATTGCTTGCAACTTATTCCCAAAAACCGACCTACAGTGGCCCAAGTGGTGTCAAGGCTAGAGCAGACACTGGAGCAGCATCACAACCATCATATTCAGTCCTCTAGTTTGAGTCATCATGATACCAAAAATCTCATATCTCTGCCTAGAAAAGTAATAGACCCTGAAACACAAAGTCAGAATCTCATCCGCATAACATTAACCAGAGAAAAGAGCCTGCAGCCAAGAGGGAAGGATTCGGTTAAGCTTAGAAATGCATTATTTGGTTGGCTCTCGTGGTACCGAAGTAAGTTCTTTCTTACTGTATTTTGTTCCTTCCCTGCTTATTCTGTGACCATTTTTCATCTTATTCAGATAAAGAATTAAGTATATATGCAGGGGGAGTCATTTGTTGATGCAGTATCAAATGTTTTGCTGTGATATGCAGGGGAAGTCAATATCATCACTCCAACTGCAGAACAACATACTGACCCTGTGGAAACTTTGCCCGTTTGCTCACCAGCAAACCACGATACTGCCCCTCAGGAAATTTTACCAATTGATGCAACTGCTTTTTCACTGGATGAGCTAAACAAATTGAGGAACAATGTTGAAACAAAAAGTGTACTAGGAAAGGATTACTACGGCCTGGTTGATGTGGGAACATTGAGCAATGGCCAGAAAGTAGCAATTAAAAAATTGGATATGAGTTGTGCTTCAACAGAGCCACATTCTGTTTTTAATGCCAAGGTGATTTGTCAGTGGTGTCTCACTTGCCTTCTTTCCATTGTAAGAATGAAAAAAAGAAAATGCTGAAATCTTCAATGTAACGATTTTAAATGCATTTGTTTGCAGGTATCGACATTTTCAAGGCTTAAACATGAGAATCTTGTTCAATTACTTGGATATTGCTTCGAAGGAAATCACAGAATCTTGACCTATGAATATGCAACCATGGGTTCCTTAGATGATGTCCTCTACGGTAGGTCATCCTCATAGAGTCATACTACTGCCTTCTGAACTTTTAGAAAGCACATTCTCATTGCACTTTGTTGTTGGATTCAAAAAGGGCTACCGGGAGGAAAACCTGGTCCGGTTCTCAGCTGGAATCAGCGAGTTAAGATTGCATTTGGCACAGCGAAAGCGTTGAGGTATCTACACGAAGAAGTTCAACCACCCATTATTCACGGCAGAGTGAAATCAAGAAATGTGCTTCTGTTTGATGATTTCGTGGCCAAAGTTGCTGATATCAACTTGGGAAACCAGCCTCCTGAATGTCCTGGTTCTTGGATGGATTCAACAAACTTATTAGCGAACTATGCTTATCATCCTCCCGAGTAAGCCAAGCTTTCCTTTCTTTCTATTTTACCCAGAGGACGATAATGCATGATCACATTCTCTTCTACAACAAAAACTTGCCTGGCCAAAAAACAAAAAAATATCTTTGACATTCTAGTTTCACATACATAGATACAACAAACTTCTTGATTGAGTAATATACTCGTGGTTTCTCCCCATTCAGGTATACCATGGAAGGGAGAATTACTGAAAAGTTTGATGTTTACAGTTTTGGTGTTGTTCTATTGGAGCTTTTAACTGGAAGGAAGCCGGTAGACTGCCATATGCCCAGAGGACAGCAAAGTTTAGTCACTTGGGTAGACACTATTCATATTGCTCAATTCTGAATTTCCCTTTATATTATAAGTATCTTCTTTACTACGTGTCTCACAAAGAATAGTCTACATTAAGTTTTGAAATTTGTACTACAAAACAGTACAAATTTCAAAACTCAATGTGGACTATTTCTTTTGGGAGACAGAGGGAGTATATTCCGGCAAACTACAAAACTCAAATACACTTCCCACAGGCAACTCCAAAATTAGACAGGGTGAAGAAAATCATGGATCCCAAACTGAACAAGGATTACCCACCAAAGGCAGCTGCTAAGGTCTTCTCTACCATTTTAACTTTTCATTTGGTAAAGAGTGTATAAGGCCTCGAAACTTGCTGAGAGTAGAATATTTTACATGTCCTTCCTTCCTTCAACTTTGCAGATGGCAGCTGTTGCAGCTCTTTGCGTGCAGTACGAGGCAGATTTTAGGCCACGAATGGATATTGTTGTCAAGGCTTTGAATTTTTTGATGGTGCAAACAAAGCAGCCTCAGGCCTTTGTGGCATAACTCTAGAAATTATGCAACAGTTGCAGCATCTTACCAAAGTGTAAAAGTAAGCAAGATTGGTTTTAGCTAATTGTAGTAGAACCAATAGCAAGATTTAGTAAAACCATTTTGGGACCAAGGCAGCATATGTGGAACTCTTGGAAATTTACTTCCACAGATTGACCAGCATTCTTCTGATCACAAAAAAAAGAAAAAAAGAAAGTCATTCAGGTCTTCCATACTGGAATGCCTTCTTTTAGGACTTGGTTTTAAAACTTCGCTATCCATCGATTGAATGAAAGCCGCTCGATTTAACGATGTAAGACCTGAAATCAGCAATAATATATGTCCTGATATGAAGAATAACGTGTAGGTCCAGATTTACATCAAGTAAAAGTTGATAAAGTTAAAAAAAAAAAAAAGATTAACAAGGAAGATGAAGAACATGAAATCTGGAAGACACGACAGAAAGGAATCTGGAACTCCGTTTAGTTTCTCTTCCTTTTGTTTTTTGGATTCAGAAGGAAGATTATGTTCCTGAATTCATTGATTCAACGATGAATGTCCCGTGAAATGAAGAATATACAGAATTTATGTATAAATAAAGTATTCAACTACAGTTGAACATCTATAAATTATTAATAATGTTAGAACCCCAAAAAGTTATTAATTTATCGATGTATTAATTTATCGATAAACTAATTATATTAATTTAAAGAAAATTCTAAAGAATCCTATTAATTTTTAAGCTTACCAGTATAAGATTTATATTCTTTTATTTCCGTAAATCCCCTATACATTAGAATTTAAACTCCACAATAATCTTAAATTTTATGACCTACCTAATCTACGTAACATGCCTTTATTAAAAGAGATTTGACCTTTTTCTGAGAAATGTTTAAACTCTCATCAATATCTCTATAAATCATGCAAAAAATTTATAACATCTACAATTTCTTTATATATAAATTTCAAGAAAACACAAACATCGCCAAATTCATATTTCACTAGCTCATTTTTATTTCAAGTCATTATTAATTTATGATATTGACATGACCTATATTTACACAGAGATTTTTTAAAAAATTATTATCTTATTATTTTATCGAATATCTTTATTTTTTGTACCGGTCCCGACTTGGGACCGGAAAAAATTATTAATTTATCGATTATTAATTTATTGATGTTCTACCGTATTTTGGAACACTAATCTCCTTAATGAACCCTCAAAACAGGACTGTTGATGAGCTCCTACCTGCTTCAAATAGCAGTCTAATGTCTCAATTTAATAACTGAATGTATTAAACTAAAACAATACATGTTTATTAAAAGAACAATGATAGAGACAGTGACAAATTATAATGAAATGAAATAGTTACTAATGAAAAAAAAAAATACACCATCCTAACTAAATATGTATACTTATTAATTAAGAGTAATTTTTAAGGAAAAATAAATTAAACGAGAAAGTGGCAACTAACTAGAGGCCAAGAATATTTCACATCACTCACTATCTTTTTTCACTATTTTTTTTTTCAATATACATATCATTTTCCTTATTAAAATATACAGTGATCATTATCACACTGCCTTAGGTGAAGCCAAAGCAAAAAAACTTCATGGTTTTGCATCAAGATCAAGCTTCTAGAAATCCTTCACAAAAAGAATGAAGCGATTATTTAAAAAATATATTATAATACTTCCTTTATCAAAACCTATAGTATGTTTGAATGTCTCCAATCGAGAGAAATTGACTATTATAAAGACCTCGATGCTTAGAAAATACTGACTTTATCATCTTTGTTTCAGTTTTTTAAGAAGAAAAAGTACATGAGACGTTTAATTTATAACTGAATTTCAGTTATGCCGCTCTTTAGATTTGTCGAAGAAAACGCTTACACAATTTATTATTATTATTACTAGATTCTCGACCGTGCATTCGCACGAATATACAATCTGCTAATATATTTGGTTTTTACATCAAAAAATTTTAAATAAAGACAATTTTAATTAGAAACACAAAAATGATGTGTAAGAAATATGATTATTCTACCATTACAATCTAAAAGATCTCTGTCAAATGCGTATTATTAGCTCATGTTGGCACCTTACAAGATTTACTTAAAAACACTGTCGACGACTTGTTCAATCAAATTAACTTTGAGGCTTGCGAAATCTACAAATTAATATGTCAATAAAAAGATGGCCAAAACCAAATGATAAAATGTACTTTTTGAAATGACCACGTAGGAAATCTTGTGGTAGAATAGAACCTTATGTTTACATCAATAAGACAATACGATTAAAGATTTACAATGCCCACATTTCTTTTGAGACAAGGAATTATAAATAATTGTCTCACAATGAAAGCAGTATAATTGTAGTAAAGAATTTACCTTATCATATTCACAGGTAATGACCCCAAATTTGTACTTCGCAACTTGTTTTTCACTGATAGAGCATACAGCTTATTCTTCACTCGTAGAGAATATGACAAAGAAAATTAGCACAAACTATGCATGAAGATAAAAGGAGATTAGAGATAAGCAAACAATAGAACAATTTAAACTTTAGTTTGCATGATTAATTACAGAAAAGAACAAATTGAAAATCACCAATATCAAGAACTTTAAGTAAATTGTACTATCTCCGTGCAAAACAATAGTCCACATTGATTTTGCAAATTTATATTAAAAATAATACAAAACTCAAAACTCAATGTGAACTATTTTTGTGGGACGGAGAGAGTAGTATATATCAACCCAAAGCAACTTCAAGAACATACATTAACAGAGAACGTGCAATTTTACGTTGTAGCACCAGTTGCTCAAAAGCAAGAACCAAATAATGGATAACAATGATTTCGAACATGTTTATTTTCGCCGACAACCGGTGACTAACTTTCAAACGTCCACGGTGAAAGTTATGCGCTGCTTCAAACGTCTACGGTGATTAAGTATCAGGATAGACATCCAAAATTATGGAAGATAGATTGGGTGTTACATGTAATACCGTAGGCTACATGAGTTCAAACGACTGACAATTGAAATCATGTTCTCATCGGAATTAACTTTATGTGGAGGAGGAGGAATTAAATTTCTGGGGATCGGATGATCGGAAGTAGTGGATCAATTTAAAAGTATAACTGCTTAGGGAATGGGGATTAATATTCAAGGATAGAATCATGGTTTAAAAGTGTAACTGCTGAAGTATGGATCAATTTTCTGTTGAAATAAGGTTAATATATATATATATATATATATATATATATATATATATTTATGTATAGATAAATTTAACTGAGTGTTGTTGTTTGGGTTTGGGTTGGGTTGGGAGACTATTATTTCGTGTAAAATACAATAAACAATTTTTTTAAGATAAATAAAACCAGTCGTTGTTGTTTGGTTTTGTGTTGGGCAGATTTTTAAGGATAATGTGACATTTGGAATTTTGGATAAAACTCGGTTTTTACTATAATGGAGGTTATTATATTATAGATAGATTATATTATTATTATTTGGTTATCAACATAAACCCTCAATAGGGACATATATTTGACTATGTAAGCAAATGTGTACCGTCCTAGATAATCATCGATAAAGGATTGAAAAATGCAACAGATTGGGAACAAAATGGTCAACAAATAAAATGTACTCTATATTTGTTGATGGTTTTATAAGGAAATTCAAAAGTCTATATTTTATTTATTTTTTTTTTTTTGGGGGGTGAACTGCAGTTTACCTCCCGAGTTTTGCCTTGATTTACCACAAGCCATACATTTTGACACAATCAACGAATGAAACATACATGATCATTACCAAAATTGGGGTTACTCTGTTTTAGTTTCAATATCTTTTCACTTTCATTTTGATAATACATTATGTTAAACTAACATATTACCGCAACGTAATTATTAAACGAAGAATGAAGTAAAAATATAAGCATTGTTGGTCTGTTATCTCATATATATTCCCCTCCCTGTTTGTCTGTACGAAGAAGATAGTAATTTATTATAGTTCTTTATTATAAATAGATTTTTATTTTTTTTTTCTGGAACAAGAAAGCATAACAAATTTGTTAAATTTCCCGTCATTATTTTTGTCGGACTCTCGGAGATAACCCTTGCCTTTGCTTTGTTAATACATTTATTTTTGTTTTTTTTTTCCTTTAAATATCCTTCTCGTCCTCGATTTTCAAAATCATTGATTAATCTGAATTTGAACATGATAGGCTCCAATCGGGTGGCAAATTTCACATAACAAATATTAATACATAATCACCTGAAAAAAACAAATTTGATCGAAGACGGGTGGGTTTGAGAAAAATGATAACCAGTCGTTGGATTCATATTTGCCCTTAAAAGAAGACTATTAATGTGCATGTATCACGATAATATTCTTAAGTCTTAATCTTTAAGGATTTAGGAACCCATTTTTTGACCTAGCAGAAAACGGTACTTAGAATATTGACCTTCCAATTTAAGACTTCTTACAAAGGGCTACCCAAACAGCAGTAATACCCAGAAAGTCTTTCATTCTTCAAGCGATACGGCGTGGTCAATTTTCCCCAGCATCACATTTATTTTAATCCCATGTAAGATCTCATGCATGTTCTTAATTCAAGTCAGCCAGTTTTCTTGTTGATTCTTCTCTTCCCCCCTTTCAATTTCAATCATTCCATTTCTTTTCTAGCTCAGATTGAAATTGGTCAATCAATTAATATATATTATTATTACCAGAAAATAGCCACATCAGATGTCATGTTTCTTTGGTACATTATATGTTCGAAATTATTACCTAAAACTGTCATGTCAACAGTTTTAGGTTTTTTTTTTTTTTTTTGGGAAATTAATTGTACCACTATCTAAACAAGATTAGTTTTAGATGGTTTACATGTCGTGCTATTGTTTGAATTATTACATGAACGTACCCAAAGGAAAAGGTTTGCGTATCTTTTCTTTTCCCGGTTATGGTTGGGCGTGACTACAACACCATTTGATAAGGGTTCTCATCTGTAAGGATGTAATAGTTTAGTTTCTTTGGTATTGGTCTCTTTCATTGTATAAAAAAAAGAGAGAAAAAATTAAAATTTGAACTTCTCCTTCTATCCCAAAATAATCTTTTTGTTTCTACTCTATTTTAGTGCAACAAATATCACAATTATTTTTGAATAAAAAAAATATTGTTGGACAGGTTTTCCTCATTTTTATCTATTTTTTTATAAATATTTTTATAAAATCTCCTACATCCACAATTTCCTGCATTTGTTAGTGTTGTTATTATTTTTTTGGTAGTATTATTTTTAGTACAACGAAATGAGCAAAAGATGTTTTGTGACAGTTTGATATACTTCATCTGGTCTGGTCCTCCAAACAAGTCATATATTAAAAACAATAAAATAGTTTATACAAGACGTTTGATAAGACAGTGGGGAGTAAAAATCAAATGACTAGGGTACCCCCGATTTCCAACATCGATCGAGGTATCTCGCAACCAAAATTTGCCTATGAATTTGGTCATTGACTCATTAAAAGAAAGGTAATAAAACTCCCTAGAATACCACAAGACAAAACTACGACAGTTTGAGTTGAGTATATATATGTATACATTGTACACAGTAACAAAACTAGACCACCGGCCATTACACAAATCCTATTATATATAGACAAATTTCCCAATAGGAAAAAGGTCACTTAAGCGCCGGAATATACCGGCCAAAGAAAATACTTACACCTCATTATATAACATTGTTATAGCTTCTTCTTCTTCTTCTTTTTCATGATCAGTAATCCCTCCGTCCCGCAAAAAAGATTTATAGTTGACTGCTTGTGAATAATGGGGAGAATATTCACTAATGATCTTTCTTTTCCTTTGACTAGAAATTCCAAAGGAAAGACTCCTGGGAATAATAATGGTGTTGGTCAACGTCTATTATTTGCTGTTCATCCTGGCTACCGTCACAAAATCTGTTCCCTAAATATGGCGCCATATAAATATCCTCATGCATATACTGATCGAGGCTAGACATGAACAGATTATTATAATCCGGAACGCCGCCATTGACCGATGAAGTGGGTACCCCAGATGAGGCAACAATATCTTCCTGATGATGATGATTTGGAACAATATTAATATTTGGTTCATATATAATATTGTCATCATAGTATGATAATGGCCAATCATCCAAAGTACAATCTGAATTTGTTAACACTGCCATTGTTGCTTGAACTCCCAAATCATTATCAACATTTCCATTTGTCTGCTGCTGCTCATGATCATTGAAATTATTGGCGTACCGGGTCGCGATTTCTTGGATTTCAGCCGGAGTAAGGCCGGCCGGCCGGCCGGTGGGAAGATTAATATTGGAAGGACTGTCTATGAAATTGAAGTTGGCATTTCTTCCTCGAAGGCAGAACTGCGCTGCGTCGAATGCACGCGCCGCTTTCTCGGCAGAATCGTACGATCCGAGCCAAATGCGCTCCCGACAATTTGGAAGCCTTATTTCCGACACCCATTTTCCCCATTTCCTCAACCTAACTCCCTTGTACTTCACCTGATTGTTTTCTCCAGGTTGACGATCTGGGGACACAGAAGAACACGAATAATTTGGATTAACCATTTTGGGTTTTCGAGTTTTTGTGTGACTGTGAAAAGATTGCTTGGGTGTAGTGGACCATGCAAGAATAGTAGAGGAAAGCGTTTTTGAAGATAATCAAATTGGTTAATCATTTGTGAAATTGATCAAGAGAAAATGGGTTTCAATTTGAATCGGTAAAGATGTAGTCTCGGGGTTTCATTTGAGATATTTATATCTATTTCTCAGCCGGAAAAAAGAGTTTGTTTTGTTTTTGCATGCATCACGAAAGCATATCTTAAGCTTAATTTAATTTAAACTTTTGGATTAGGACCCCCTCTTTGACCTTTAATTGGAATTTGACCTTCAAATTTCGAGACTTCTAATTCTAACCAAGGTCAACACAGTTTTACACCCAGAAAGTCTTTCATTCTTCAGGCTGTACGGCGTGGTCAATTTTCCCCAGCATCACACTTTTTTTTTTTTAATTTAATCCCAGATCTGAATCTTTGCTCTGAATTCATGTCGACCAGGTTTCTTGATTCTTCTTCTTCTTCCTATCAATTTTAAACATTCCTTTTGTTTCCAATCTCCGATTTCAACTGGTCAAAATATTAATTTTATATTACAAGAACGTAGATATAGACAGTATATATGCTTTTTTTAATGCATGGTTGGTGAGTTGATAGATTATAAACTAATCTATAAAACTTGATATGATCCACACATGATCAGGGATAAAACCTTTTAATGTAAGGATGTACTGATATAAATTGTTTATACATATGTTTGAACTTGAGATCCACTAATGATGATTGAACCTGGCGATATGTTGTCCACTAAATGCAAATATTGTCTGTTTGTACCCATATTATCAGTTTTGAATTTGGATTACACGAGATAAACCCCAACACAATGTGTACATATAAATTGGTCTTCCGATTTTCCATACCTCGGAATACAATATCATGATTTTCTTTAATATAACAACATTTTGTTTAGTTTGAAATGGTATAAATAGGATTGAGGGGAGAGTACATATTGACCTCATTTTCTCCTGGTGGAAAAAGAGAAAGACCTACTACATTTCTATAGAGTATAGAATTCAGAACCGACAAACCCCCCCTCCAAGCATACTACACACCAAATATCTGGTGTGTAGAACCTATATATTTATGACTTGTATAACCAGGAATGGAACAATATGAATCTTAAAAATAACATTTTGTTTTTGGCTCACAATCTTCTAAGTTCGAATCTCCCTTGTTATTATATTCTCCAATAACTATCATAAAAAAAAAACCGATTTATGGAAATTATGTTAACAATCTATAATATACTCCCTTCAGTCTTAATTATGAGGCACAAATTAAAACTAGATTTATTTTAAATAAGTTAGTTCCACAATATATGAATTTATTTTAAATTTGTGTCATATAATTGTTGGGAAAGAGATGAAAAAGAACAGAGATTTTTAAGAATATAAAACTTTTATCAAAAAAGGGTTGCTTTTTATTTTATGAGAAGTCTAATATATAGAAAACTCTTACAATAACCAAAAGAGAAAAACACTCTCAAATCCCTAAAATATCTCTAAAACTCTACGTTCAAATTCTAAAAAATCTCCACAACAAACTCAACCAAATTAATCAAGATAAAATTCAATCCTAACTTAAACATTTATTCTTCTTAACTAAAACTCTTTGCAGTAAATAAAAAATTTAACCAATAAATTTACTCATTTTCTTTTTCCTGCAAATTTCTACATCTTCAAACCAAATCTTCATATTCATCTTCATCTTCTTCACTCACAAGGTTTCTTACAGTGTTTACAAAAAAGATATTTTCTTTTGCTGTCATTGTCTCCAAATGCCTTCCTATCCCATTTTTTACTTTTACCAGTTTCGTCCACTTTATAGAGTTCTTCAATAACATTTACCTTTTCCTTTCTGAAAACTCTCCTTTGCTCTTGAGCTTCAAAGGTTGAAAGTAGTTTTGCTAGAGATATTTTTGATAAATCTCTAGTTTCTTCAAGGGATGAAATCTTGGACTCATATCTTTCTGGCAAAGTCACCAATATTTTTTCAACAACCCGGCTATCAGGAAGTTGTTCTCCCAAAAGTCTAATTTTATTAATTACCTTCATCAATCGATCTATGTAGTTCTTCAAAAGCTCTATCTCTGACATCTTCTGCATCTCGAATTCCCTTTTTAAATTCAAGATCTGCATACGCTTTGTCTTCACATTGCCTTGATATTCTTGTTTCAATATATCCCACGTCAGTTTCGCAGTCTCGCAGGCCATGATTTTTGTTTCAATATATCTCACGCTTGTTTCGCAGTCTCACAGACCATAATTTTTGTGAACACCTCTTCTGATACAGCAGAGTGAATACAGGTCTTGGCCTTGTTCCTCCTCTTTTTAGCCTTCCTAAATTCTTTAATTTGTGCAATTGTTAGATCTTCAGGAAGTGGTTGGAATTATCATTTTCCACCAACTCCCATAATACACTTGCTTCAAGATAGACTTCCATTTTGACAGCCCAAACATGATAATTTTCTCCTCTAAACAAATGGAAAAGGAGACATAAAATTATTCCCTCCTTCCATTGATAAAAGAAAATTGGCTAAAAAGATTTGTTTATGTTGAAAGTTCCTTACAGATTCACTCACACATGCCCCCCTAATTGAACCTAAACTCTTGATACCTCTTTGTAGGGAAAGGGATGAAAAAGAGCAGAAATTTTTAAGAACTTAAAACTTTTATCAGAAGAGGGTTACTTTTTATTTTATGAAAAGTCTAATATATAGACAACTCTTATAATAACCAAAATAGAAAAATACTCTCAAATGCTTAAAACATCTCAAAAACTCTACGTTCATATTCTAAAAAATCTTCAAAACAAACTCAACCAAATTAATCTAGATGAAATTCAATCCTAACTAAAAAATTTATTCTTCTTAACTAAAAGTCTTTCAGTAAATAAAAAATTTAACCAACAATAATTAGGACTTATAATTAAAATAAATTTAATGTTAATTTATAACTTATAATTAAAATCAAAAGAGTATTTCCTAAATGTGAGACGTACTATACCTTTAATTAAAGGTAAGTTGACATATATATGTTTCTTTTCTACATTTTTTTAATGAAAGAAAGTAAATAGAAGAGAAACTTTATAATCACAAAATGGGGTAAGCAATCCCTGCACTGCCACAGTGAAACCAATGTACTAATAATCCTCTTCACTAATCTAATGAAGGAACTTCTGTATCCAAATACTTGGGTCACACTAATATCACAACAAAATATCTCATGCCTTATAATGTTACACCACTTTCTACATTGCTTACTAAGATTTTGATATAGGTTATGACGGTTTCATCCAATAATGGATTAGGTATTAGTAAAAAAAAATTTTAAAAGAAAAGAAATAATTAAATAAATTTTATACGGTGACTTAGAAAGTGTTGTAAAATTAGGGTATAGGAGATTCTTAGCCATCTAATATCTACTCCCCAAGAAATTAGCCTTCTTATATGTTTTAAAGAGACAACCCAAAACGAATTAACCTATGTGACACAAAACTTAAGTAGTTCTGACGAATGGATATTATTTCTGATAGCTACTTATGTTGTCTCCATAACCAACTTGCTTTCCCGGGACAACATATCAACTAGCTTGTATATAGTCTAACATACATATCTTGATTGACAGATTCTTCTTAGTGCAAGCAATTAACTTAGGCCTTTTAATATAGCTGATATTTATGCTGCCATATTAATTTTGAGCACAAATTGTTAACCAACAATTATTGGGCTGCCAAAAAACTTCCATGTACAACAAAAAATATCTTCATCATGATTTAATACTCGTAATTAAGGAGTCAGACCAGGTATACTTCATCCGGTCCTCAAAAAAAAAAAAAAAAAAATCATAATCCCTCCGTCCTATTTTTGAACTAACTTTAATGCTGATTTGTGTTTTGTAAATGAGGTAAGTTACCCTTTTCTTCTATGTAGGATGAAAGGAGGTAAAAACCTAAAGTTCAAATTAAAACAGGAAATTGGTGGGAGACAATTGATTAAGTTGTGTTCTAGCCACAGTTAATTATACAACTGCAATAAGATCAAACAGAAATCTCAAAGAAACCATCAAGTCCTGAAAACTTTTCAATTATATTCCGTACCCATGATTTTGGCCATTGAGTAGGCATTCCAAGAGATAAGGTAATCATATAACTACAAAGACTACCACATCACTACAATACAGTTTTGAGTATATATATGTATGGTACAAAACTGGACCACCGGCCAGTACTATTCATATAGAGAACTTCCATTAACTGGAAGAAAAACTCTTACTCATATAGTAGCATAGCTGCTGGTTTTAGATTCTGTTTCCGTTTTTATTAGTATTCCTCCGTCCCACAAAATATATCGTGGACTGCTATAAGTAACGAGGAATATAGAGTGACACTATTTTTCTTTTTTTCGTTGACTGTATGATTTTTTATTTTTTTAAAAGAGTTTTACCTCAAAACCAATTGGCAACGAGCAGAGTAGCTCATGAAAAATTATATATTGAAGTTCCAGAGGGAAGAGTGCTGCGAGTAATATTGGTGTTCATCAACATGTTGTAGTTCATCTTGGCTGCCGTCGTAAAATCGGTTCCCTAATTGTGGCGTCATGTACATATCTTCCTGCATATGATCAAGGCTGGACAGCATCAGGTTATAATCCGGCACGCCGGTTGCATTGACTGATGAAGTGGCCATCCCAAATGTGGCATCTTGATGATTTGGAAGAAAATTTGGTTCATAAATATTGTCATCATAATATGAAAATGGCCAATCATCTGCATTTGATAAGACTGGCAATGTCTCCACTTCCATTGCTTGAGACCCCAAATCATTTGCAACACAATTATTGATTTCTTCATCAGCATTATTTCTTTGTGGCTGCTCATCATTGTTAAAACTATTGCCAAACTGGGATGCGATTTCTTGAATTTCCGCCGGACTAAGGATCCGGCCACTTGGGATTTCAATTTTTCGAGGGCTATCTTCGAAATTGAACTTGGCATTTCGGCCGCGGAGGCAGAACTGGGCCGCGTCGAAAGCCCGAGCCGCCTTCTCGGCTGAATCGTAAGATCCGAGCCAGATGCGCTCCCGGCTATTGGGAAGCCTTATTTCCGACACCCATTTTCCCCATTTCCTCAACCTCACTCCTTTGTACTTTACATGATCTTTTTCACCGCTCCCAGAAGTTTTGTCTGTTGGAGAAAGCGAGGAAGACGAATAACTTGGGTTAAACATTTTAGATTTCGTGGACCATGCAAAAGAATATGAGATAATAATTTACTATTTTTGTATTGGGAAGGGGAATCGATAGAAATGCATTTAATTGATGACGGCTTTAAGATGTTTGGGGTATGTATATATATATATATGTATGCCCTGGTGTCAAGATCAAGAAATAAGAGCTCCATTTTCACTTTTCAACGTTAAGAATGTCAAAGGGAGAGTCTTAGACCACGCGTCTTAATTGTAGAATCGCAGTCCAAAAAATGAGCGTAAATTTTGTGTACAGACCACATTGAAACTGCTGATTGGGGGGTAGGGTACTATGATGGTCAGGCCGGTTCTTGTTGGCTAAGAAGATCTTTGAACATTTTGAAATGGTCTTCCATGTCTTTTTCATTGTAAAATATTTTTTCGTAATTCATCTGTTATAAAATGATTATTCTCACTCTTGATATTGTTAAATACTTAGAATGAAACATGATAATATAGTGCTAAACTTCGTTAATTTTTCCCAATCAATTACACATCCTTTTGGTCATAAACAATATGGTTGTCTCACAATGAGTAAAGTTATTTTTAGTATTCTAAGGTGAAGTTTGTTTCATAAGCAATCATAAAGAGAGTAAGTGATGGAATTAAACTAACATAAAAAAAATAATGTATAGAACGAATAAGACAATAAAATGAATAAAAAATTGTTGTTCTTGAAGCCAAAATATTATTATGTTTAGATTTTTTTAATGTGTCACGTCATTCTATTAAATGTTTATTCAACTGAATGAGTTCGTTTGCTTTATTATTCTTTTTTTTTTTTTCAGAAAACAGCATTATTAATGGTATTCCATTTTTTCCTTCATTATTTTTATTTCCTTCTCTTTTTTATGTAGTTGGTCTTACTTTGATCTCAAAATCTCTCAATTTCTTCGTGAGTCACAATCCCAGAAGTCTTTAGGCTAGAAATGCTTTAACCCCCCAAATCTTGTGTTCATATGCTTTATTTGTTTATTCCTTCGAATCTGGTCAATTCTAGAAACTACAACTTAGGATAACTTGTTACATTGACTAAAATAAAGTATTAGATCGACTTTAAGTTTGAAAAAGTTTCATTTATCTTGCAATCATTAGTACTATGTATTCATGAGCCAAAACTCATTTATCATAGTTTCATTCAACAATGTAACCAAAAAAAAAAAAAATAGTTTCATTCAACAAGAACTTTAATATACTAAAAAATGTAAACTGAACTTTTTGAACATGTTAATTTCTTTTAACTTTGAAGGAACAAAGGAGATACGTAGACAGTCAAATGCATTAAACAACACGGACTAGCAATAAAAGGTACACCCAACACCCTTTTGATTGAACAATAACATTAATTAAAGCTTACCTGCATATAGAAAAGGATACGACAGGTTAACAAGTTTTGCACTAATTAAACCCTAAAATGTTAGTATTGGATGCAACAATTTTCTAACATCTACCGTCTTACCTTTTAAAATTCAGTAAATCGCGAAAGCCTAACTGGTTGGATATAACATTTGCCATCAACCCAGTAATTAAGGGTTCGATTATCATCAATAACACTTTTCTACAGTCAATCAAGCTAATCAATTAAATAGTCGTCGAACTTTTTAATTAATTAATTTCTCAACTAGCAGCACATGAGTGAAAATCCAATTTCCTCTCTATTATTAATCATCTGATTTTACATAAATTTTAAATCATATAATACTAACTACACTATTTAATTGTTCATTTCTTGTTAATAAAAACCCCAAAGAATATTTTTGGAGGAAAAAATATTGGGGTTTTTTTTTGGAGGTGGGTCTAAACCTTTTGATATATGGCATGACGTGAGGTTAGGATAAAACGCGGTGGGGTAAAGTAAAACTAACCAGCTTTTTTAAATTAGCACGTGGGGAAAATAAACCATTGTATTTTAGCGAAGAGAGATTCCCTTTTCAAATGATGATCGATAAGACCAATCCAAATTGATTGGATATTCACTTGTCATGTATGTTTGAGCTCTTTCAAAATTTGTGCGATGTGACTGTTTTAATTTTTGGGTTTTGGGTTTGGGCTTAACTCTGCAGTCCCAGAGATTATGATGGGTCATTATCTCAGATTTAACGTTAAGAAAGAAGACTGGTTCTTCTCAATTGGTTTTGTCAAAATCATTCCCTTTGCTTTTGCAGTCCACCCAATTATGCTATCAAATCTTTTTCTGCTATGGTGAGTGTCCATAAAAAAATCTGCTAAAATCAACAAGGTTTTTCGTCCAACGCCGGAATTTATTTCATCAGTCTTTGGTCGGTTTTGCTGAAGTATGTAGCTATTGGTTACAGTTTGTTGTTGTGGAGAGTGTTTTTGACCACAATTTGGCCCAAAATTATATCTATGTATTTTTCGTTTAAACAGTGCGAGTGGAGTGATTCAAACGTCTTATTAATTAGATTCTCATTGTTCAGTTTGAATTTTCATTTTTTTTTTCAAATTGTACAAAAAATAAAATCTTAAAATGAATAATAATTTTGGGACAGAAAGGGTATTTAGCAAATACGAGATGCGACTTAAATCCTCCATTCGAAACAGCAGTATTTGGGTTGGAACATGTTATTGGAACAAAACAAGAAAGGTAAAAGAAATCTATTATTATACCAGAAATTTGAATATTTAATATAAAACCATTTGGTAATTAATTAGTAGAGAGGCGAGATGATTAAAAGGTTTTTGATGCGTGACAGAATTTTTACAAACTATCTTTACGTTCGTGAGCGTTTATTGTTATATTTGATCTAATTACGATCGAATGTGTTGTGGAAAAACATGGGGAATGGTTAGTGGCCAATAAACTGTAAGTGAATTCATTGGCAAGTAAATTGGGAATCCCTCCAATCCATATACTTTTATTCTTAAATCATCCATACTTACAAAGAAAAGTAACATTGCTAAATATTCATACCTTAGAGTAACAAATTAAATTATGGAGTATAAGGTAAGATATGCATGGAATATTGTTATGATAAAACCACGAATATATTTAATATAAAAAATCATCAAAAAATTACCAGACTAAAAAGTGAAGGAGATACGTAAAGTTGGAGCAACTAGTAAATTGGAGGAAATTACAACAACAACAACAATAACATCATCATCATCATCCTCATTATTATTATTATTTATTATTATTATTATTATTAAATTGATAGGGCCCCTTACACAGTGGAGATTGGTTGTTGGAGTTTCACTGTTCCATTGTGCACTTACGGATTTGATGCCAGAGAAGCTGAGAAGCGCCCTGGAACTGAGTCACCACATATTTACATGAGTAAAGCCGGATAATCAAAAAATACTTCAGATTGATTTCGAGAGAAGTTCCATGAAATACTTGACAAAAACATGCACAAAATCATCCCTATTGTAGAGGAGAATGGCAAATTCTTGTAATGAGAATAAGAAAGAATACAAGTTCATTGCACTTGTTTTTCCAGGAAATATAGGACAAAATAGCAATTAACCAGACTAAGGGTGAGATCACTGGCAGCAAACTAAAGGATGTTAAGAATGTTTTTGAGAAGATCTGAAGCCCACTAAGAGGTCTTAATATTTTGCGAATGTTATCAACAAATACAACCTTAATCAGTAAAACTTGTTTGATAACTCAATTCAACACTTAAATTTAATTGATTGATACTGTTTGATAATGTAATCTCATGGTAACTTGATAGATTAAGAGTTTGAATACTGTTTAAATCTTTGACTAGTAATGTCTTTTATAACTTTAAATAGGACGTCTTAATAGATCTGAAATAAAGTTCAAATGTAAGTCTGGAATAAGTGATTACTTATACAGTATACTGCTGAACTGAATTTCTAAGACAAATTTTTTTTTGCCCTCTTAACTACTTACATTTTTTTGAGGTATTGTCTCTTATTATTTTTAATAATATATTGTTATTTCGTTTTGTTATTAGTTAATTTTGTTTAAAATCTTATAAGTCAAGATCTTATTCAAATTCAAACCATAGTGAAACTCCAGTGTGTAGATTTTAGATAGCTCAGATTATTTCTTTTTTTCCAGATTTCATATTTTGATTTTTTCAGGTTTCAGTCTATAGAGGTAGACCTTAAATTAAGTTTCATTAAACATGGCCTATGTATCCTCTTCCATCCAAAAATCCAAAAATGATTTGCTGGTTTAAATTTTCACGTTTAGTACTAATTTTCATCAAAAATGAAAATTGAAATTAAATAATTATTTTAAGATAAAAAGAATACTTTGCAGGAACTCGTGGGTAACGTGGTGTAACCATGGACATCCTAGCACGTTACGCATGATTAATTAAGTTTCTACTTGGAAGTTGGCTGGGGTGAAAGGAAAAAAAAATTCTTTCCAGTCCTATTACATAAATTAAAGCTAAACAAGAGGTCGAGTGTTCGATTCTCGCTTAGCCATTTAATAAAAAAAAGTTAAACAGTACAACTTAGGTGACTGCAATGAAGGTGTTCTATAAATGGAAGTGGGTTTTTTTTTTTTTGTAATATAAAAATAATGATATATATTAGTTTAAACTGAATCAAAGGTTACACATTCAAAAAATATAATTACAGACCTAACAATTTTATGCGCATTTTTTCTACAATAGATCCATCCACATTTCAAACGTTATCTAAAACAAAACTATGCTTAGCAACCACAATATATATCTCTATCTATTGTCAGAACCTTTTGAAATACTCAGTTCATGCAAATGTTAAGGGGAAAAAAAACAAATTTTGTTTTCATACATTAGTAAAAGAGAAGTGTTAAATAAAGATTGACTTTTCTTTCTCTTTTTGATAATGTACCCGGAATCTTTTTACTTTGCTGCTAGCTAGACGAAGATTCTATGGGTTCCTCGGCCAATAGCTTCAAATGATCGCAACCAAAAATAGAAAATACGGGGAATACTCATCACCTAAAAAGGATACATGAATATATCATTCTCAAGGAATCACACGTGAGTCTTTGTTGTGGCAATTGTTAGGAGAAAAATAGGTTATGGCTGTGACTTTCTCCCCGAATGCGGTTTGATGGGGATTGGGGTAGCATACTAACATATATGCAGTGTATCACTCCTACAGTACCAGTCAAGGGGTTGAATGTTAGGTCCTAATGTCCTAGCTCCTATCTCTCCATCATTCTTCACGTTGTCAAC